CTATTTCTTTTCATTTGATACTTATGAATAGTATTACTTTATATGAAGGTAAATGTTATATACATATTTTGAATTGAATTGAACAAACCCAGCCCCTCAACACACCCCCTCAACACCTACTATACTGTTAACATACCTGGCTTTGAGCTCTGTCCACGCTGGTCCACACTATTTGACAAATACATGTTATTAGCCCATACAGTATATGGGAATAATTTGACAACATCATGCCCATATATGGCAAAATCATAGATTGTTGACACATAAGTTTTGATAGTGTGGGCAGAGCCATAGGTTATATATGCCCTCTCCCACACTTGCCTAAGCAGATAGATAAACCTTTGTTTGATGGTTATACTGTATGTATCCCCTCCCACACTTTCCTAGGCAGATAAACCTTTGTTTGATTCCAGGTTCCATTATTCACTTCAACAAGTATAGCACAGATAATTAATCATGTTGATGAAGTATAATAATAATAATAATAATAATAATAATAATAATAATAATAATAATAATAATAATAATAATAATAATAATAATAACAATAATAATAATAATAATAACAATAATAATAATAATAATAATAACAATAATAATAATAACAATAATAATAATAATAATAATAATAATAATAATAACAATAATAATAATAACAATAATAATAATAATAATAACAATAATAATAATAATAACAATAATAATAATAATAATAATAATAATTTATATGATATACACTTTATATCAGTAGCACTCAGTAGCGGTATCATACATAGGAAATAAAAATAATTATTACTGGCAGGCCTATAACTAAACTATATAAATTAATATACAGAAATATACAAATTAATATAGTCATAATCAACTGCAGTTAAAATCAGTTTAGTTTAACTAGTGTTAATTAATCTTAAATTTGTTACACACAATAGCGTACTTTTTTTTTGTATGCCAAATGGTCAAAATTCTTGGCTTTTAGATAAATTACAGTTTATGTATATAGTTAAGATATGATATCTCAAGTGTTCTTTGTAAAAACACCCACTGAGTAAAATTTTGAGATTATTATAGATATTTTAATAATTGTACAAGGTCATATGATGTGTCTATGAACTAGTTCAAATTGATACTATTTAACAACTGTTTCACTATCTTTCTAATGGCCTAACATACTCATGCATACGTTTTTAACCTTAGAAAATCATTATATCTTAGTTTGCAATTACTTTTTTATTTTAAGGGAAAACATTTGTGTTGGCACAATCATGACTGACTCAAAATCTTGGAAAAAAATATGTATGATGGTTTTTTTCCCCCGAAAGAAGATCTCAAAATACTTCATGTATGTAATTGGCGCATTTCAAGATTTAATGAATTTTTTTGAAACCTTATTCATGGCTTTTAGCAGTGTTTAGGTTATCAATTTATAATAATAATAATAATAACGCAAACATCACCACCAAAAGTTGGTGCTGAAGGCGCAGTGTCAAAACAACAGGTAGAGAACAAACAAATCACAAATAACAAAGTGTAAACAAGTTAATTTTTTTTATCTGTCAAAATATATGGGGTGGGTTTTAATTTGCCATGAACTCTAGAATTAGGCCAATAGGTCTGCTGTAAAAACATAATAAAAATTCTGACAAACCAATCTTTTTTCCGATTGTCAGTTTGCATTTCAAATCTGTATTTACATGAAGTTACTAATAATAGCAAAGTCATGAAAAAAATTTATAGAAAATACTTGATCAGTATAACATAAAGACCATTTGCTTGGAATTTTGATGCCATGTAAAAAGTTTGTTCATGAACCAGCCAATCGTTGGGTGCAGACAGTGGCATGTCGTATGCCCTCTTGTGCGGCAGTCCGCAGGTTCCCTGACCCCGAAGGGCCCTACACATACGGTCCTCCATCTACTGTAGCACCCTGATCCAAAAGACATCTGTTTGATTCATAACAGCACAATTAAAATGTGTCTCTGACATTGACTGTAGGATATATCATATTTCATCCAGTGATGGATTAAAGGGGGCCCAGCCAGCTGGCCCACCTCCCCCCCCCCCTTTAAAAACAAACAAACAAGATTAAAAAACGAGCACATCTAAAATTTTACGATGGAATTGGCGAACAAAAAGGGCCACTAGTCTCAAAAAACCACAGGATCCCCTTCCTCAACGTAATGCCATTGGCTGCAGACCTCAATTTTTACATTTTAAACAGGCTTAGAAGGATGAATTATATAATCTTAGTTACCCAAAAATATTTCACAAGGGTTGCTGACAGCTGCTTTAATAAGTAAACCTTACTTAAGCTTGACCACAAGTTACATTAAACTTTAAATGGACACGATAAAGAGGCAAATGGGATTTTAACGAAAGTATCATATTAACCAATTAGACCAGAATGAGGCAATCATCATTATCTTAATTAGACATTACACCTCATTATATCTGTTTGTAAATTACTAAATTAAAAGTAGTTACTATGTTTAGTTCCCATATATCCTGACAAGACACAGTTTAAAGGCATCATCAATATTCATATTTATTCAAACTTTTTAAGACTGTAAATAACTTTAATATTAGGTTGTAAGCTCAGTCAAATTAAAGGTCAGTTAATTTTAATGTGCTGTAGTGCTCATACAGTGTCTTTAAGATATACTATTGATGGTAGAGGCTAAAATAAATGGGTTATTAAAGTTACCAATTTTGAATTACTGTAGACAGTTCAAAACAACTCAGTTTTCTTTAATCAGACTTTTAACTATGAAAATTCTTAATAACTTTTATGTGCAGAAAATATTTTCATGTTCCAAAAGTACCTATAAGCAATTTATATACTGTAATTGAACTAATATTTAAAGTTTAATATTTCAACACATTAAGTTTATCTTTTGGAAAGATGCCCTTTGAAAGTACTATGTGATAGTCTCTACCTGGCTATATCCTGAATAGAGAAACCTCAAATTAAATGAATTAAATAATTCTTTTTATAATTACCAATCTGCTAAACAGTAGCAGTTCAGCATCCCGATGAAGACACGTTGATAGCTACATAAATCCATTTGTCAGCTTTGATTAAGTCTAAAAATAAAGTCTAAATAACCCTCAGTTATCTAATAGTTTAACCATAGAGAAAATAGAACTGTTCCATTTTCTCTATGGTTTAACAGACTATTATTAGATTTGTACAGAATTTCATTTATTTATTTATTGAACATATTTATACAGTATAACAGGAGGGTGTAACAACCTGTTTTACACATGGTCCTATTTTGTGATACAAAATTACAATAAATAAAAATCAACAAGTTGCATATTAATAACAGAACAATGATAAAAGCTTAATCTAAAACACAAAATACATTAATTTTGATAAAATATATTGAATTCGAAGAATTTAAAATCACAATATTCATTAATACCATACTGTGTGTTCTTGTTATAATAATATTAAATGTATAGAAAACATTATTATTAATTGAATTATTGAATATTATAATTAATAAAGGCTTTAATACTTATTTTATTGGGTGTTTTATTTACCCAATTACTTACATTTGTAAGCAACCGCTTTGTTCTCTATTGTATTTTAATTATGATTTTTAGAGCTGCATTTATTGCAACATGGAGATATTGTAATGGTTTGTTCTTACTGATATATTTGGAAGCATTCTTCTGCTTTTGACTACCAACTTAAATTAAAATTTTTGCAATAGTACACCCATTTAATTCACCTCTACTGCAAGATGAGTTTTGATAAAATAAAATTTAATTGCATTTCTGTATTAAAACATATTCACAACCCAAATGCATTATACACAGGGGAGACAATTTGCAAAACATTTTTTTATTGGTTTACTTATTATCCTGTAGGTTACTGTTTTATTGTTCATGCTGGCTAAAAACATAAGAATTAATCAAGATTATCATCTTAGGAGCAAATAAATAGGCCTACATATCAATATTAGCAAATGAAAATGTTAAATCCAAAAGGACTCGGTAAAGCCAGGTATTAAGAAAAGCGGCAAAATCACTATGATCCAACAAAATGTTATTCTACTCCATAAATCTCTCATTCCCAAGAACAATTCGTTCAAATATTGATATTCATGAAAAAATCAAGCTCATTTGCTGGAATGAGTCATTATTTAATGACGCTATTTATCTGGAAGTACAATATGACACAAGTAATGGACAATAATTTCTCCAATCTGAAATTAACAATCTCTTGTTTTGTTTTTTTTGCAAACCATTAATCTTGTAATTGTTATGTTTATTATTGCCAAAGGTAAATGTATTGCTGGTTCTTTTTATCTGGACAATAATAGTCATCTTATCCAAATGGTTTTGTTAATGGATGTTGAATCCCTATCAATTCTTGATTGCATATTTATGATTATTTTTTCAATAAGGAATTTATAATGATAACATTTTTTTTATTCTTTCACATCCAACAACTGTACACTCACAAATTACAGAATGGAATGTTATTGATAATTTGGTAATGATAATAATAATAATATAGTGCACTCTTCAGCTTGAGACCCTTCTAATTCATGTTCACTTTTTCCAAGAACTAAAATTAATCAATCTTTTAACACAAAGCTAACCCTCTAATTGAAACAGGTAGTCTCAAATTTAATGCTCACTTTCCATTCCTATTTTAACATATAGTTCACCCTCCAAGTTCAGACCACCTCTGGGGCCTAAACATTTGGGATTTGGGGTGGTCTTGGAGTTCGGTCTCCAATTAAAAGTTAGCTTTGCGTTAAAAGATTGAAAATTGTTATTTTGGTTATTTTAAAAAAGTTGTCTTGAATTAGTGGGGTCTCAGAAATAAAGGGGTCTTGAATTGGGATGTGCACTGTATTAAAATTATTATGATAATGAAGAGGAGAATATGTAGATATTACAGTATAACATGTTATCCATGCTGTTTTGTTTTTATGAGGACGATAGTTATGTTAACATTAAGAATTTTTTATTATTTTATTTTTCAGAGACACGCTATTGCAACTTAATGCTTCAGATTTATCAGATATACATGTAAGTATAGTTCAAGGTTCATTTGATTAATTTGCATAATTAATAACAATACTAAAAACTAGATAATTAAAATTAACATGGTTTCTAAAGTGAGTGATATGACATATAAATACTCAAGGTTCCTCAACAAGTTCATACCTACATCAGTCTCACCATGGTTCCTCTATATTCTCCAAAATGGTACTCACAGCCTGTTATTCGATGGGGGTTCTGTTCCCCCAGGAACCCCTTTGGTGCCGCTACCGAAGAAATTATGGGTGGGGCAGTATATCTGGATTTGAAATGTCTGCCGCTCATGGAGACAGAAACAATTTGCAGATGCAGTGTTTTCAGATTCTCATAGAAGCACAGTTTTTCAATCTGGAAAAACTTGAAGGAGAAATAAAAATGGTGAGGTCAACAAATTCTGAGAATGAATGTGGATGAAAGAAGACAGAAGCATTCTTTCCAGCATTCATTCAATCAATGCAAACATACTAAACGAAACCAGGACCCCTCTGGGAATAGTCAATGGCCACAAGAGTAAGCTAACATTGCATTGTTTGTCTGGTTATTGTTTCTCTAATTGTATATTACATTTGGATAAATTAAATAATACAAATCAAAAATAATTCTCTTTCACACAGTTAAATTCTTCCCATTAGAATTCCACAGGAAACAATACTCAGTATTTTTAACCATTTCTTTTTTTTGCCATTTACATAGTTGATATAAATGGATTTAAAGTCTTCGTAATAAACTTAATACTATTTAATAAAATTAAGCTGAATGTGTGAGCTGAATGAAGCACCTGACCGTACTGTACTTTGTATTTGAGTATGGTAAAGTCATTTGATAAAGAATGTAGTCCCACAGTAAAATTACAAGCAATTATCACCTACGTCTGAAATTCCTTCCTGTCTGGCATCTCCGGGAGATTACTACGCTTTCATCATCGACGTTTCTAATTCGGTGGTTGAGGAAATTGCCGTTTGCTAGTTTGCCGAATAGCTGGCAGCAAGATCATGGACAGGGAGTGTAGGTAATGACTTAATTGATGTTGACAAGCCTGTAAACTTGAGGGTGATAGTGAACAGTAGCTACGAGCCTCGTGTCTCCAAGATGGAGCCTCTAATTCCCGGGACCTTGGACCACATTTCAATTCCATGATCCATGCTTAATAATCCTCTTGGATTTCAGTATTTTGGAAAGTGAAAGTGTGTAATGCTTTAAAGTCAAAGAGTCAGATGCAGTGTGAGGGCGCTCTTTAGTTATTGACGCCATAATGTCAACTTGTCACTAAGAGCAGACAAATAAAACAAGAAAGGTAATACCAGTGTAGATTACCTGTTGGATATAATTGACCTTGTCGGGTGACCATAAATGTCTTTAGTTACCTAATTATTTCTCTACAATGCTCATTAACTCATAAAATATAAACATTCTTTTGTTTCCCAACATTCCTTATTATCTGCTTCACTTTAAAGGACACTTTATTTATTTACATTTTTTTAATGAGGTCCTGAATCAGTGACCTTAAGAAACATTTTGTAGTAGTGATAATAGTAGTACTAGTTGTAGCAGTAGTGGTAACATTAAGCATTTTGTAGTAGCAATAATAGTAGTACTAGTTGTAGCAGTAGTTGTAACATTAGCAGTAATATTTGCAGTATAAATATTAATTTAATTTAAAAGTAAATTCATTTTATAAATGTTTTTTATGGAATGTTTCAAGAAGCACTTTCCAGTTCCAGTTTGTATCAATATATCAGTCCAACATAGACCTACTTTGACATGTCTAAAATTTTATATTTAGCAACAATCATTAACAATCATTAAAGCTTGCTACTGCTACACTTAAAAGATTTATTAGACAATAAACGACTAATTTTATATAAATGTATGGATTTCTAGAGCCATTCCACCAGATATACTTAATTGAATACAGAATCATTACAAAATGTAATCTTCAAAGAATCAAATTAAGACCACGTAGGAAGAGATAGTTTTCTCAAAAAGATATTTTTTTGCAATTAGGAAAGAGTGCTTAAATCTCGTATAAGTATCATCTTTCTGATTGTTGTTGTCATCCATTTGTAAATTAGAAATCGTGTAAGGGATTACAGACACAGGTCACAGTCGACAACCTGATCCGCTGGAATGCCGTGTACATTTTGAAGTTATTTAGGCATAATCTCCATCATGTTGAAATTATCTAATCAAGTTGAAATTCAATTTTTCAATTTAAATTTGGTAATAGTTAAAATAATTTTTTAATAATTGAAATTTAATCAAGTTGAAATGATGTAATCAAGTTTTTTTTCTGGATTTGGATTTTGTTGCTATTATGACTTGTCTATTTTTTGGGTACATCCTGCATTCCTACTGAGTATACTTTTGAGTATAACTGGCCATACCTGGATGCTTTCAAGCAGTGGTCTTCTGTGAATGATCTACACATTTTTCTAAATGCTAATTATAATATTTGTCAATAAACCTGAATAATTCAATTAAATTTTTGAATTTCTCATTTATAAGGATCAAGTAAGTTATCAAAATCAAATGATACACAGGTGGTAATTAACTACAAAAAAAATTAAAAGAATATTTAGCAGCAAATATAAGTGATACAAACAGTGTGGGAGTGCTGAGGCGATACAGCTAACCTGCTCATGACTAATGCTGTACATCTCAATCTGCGGTGGTGGAACTTTCCCATAATTCAACAGTTTTCTCCCCCTCCTATACTCCTATACTACAATTTTGGAGTTCTTAGGAGGTCGGCTTTACACACCAGAAGTCTGCTGAAGAAGTAGGTCACTATAGTTAGATTTTTTTTTAGTTTGCCTGAATTTCAAAATTCTATGGCTTGAAAATGCTGTCTCTTCCCTATTATACTGACTGAATAATAGACATTTAAGGTCTACAATGTCAATTAAAAAATTGGCAAATACAATAAAAAATTCTAGGGGCTAAGTAGACACAATGGATCACTGAGACATGGTCTGTGGGAATGTATCAACCTATATGTTATATCAATATTGAATGTTGGTAGCTACACAATAAGCTGGACAGGTATAAGTTGTTTGCTACAAAGTTTACTGATACTATAGAAAGTACTTTGAAGTTTTTATCTGGCTACAACTGTAAATTTATGTGTGGGCAAGGGGAAAATTCAATTAATTGGAAACAAATTAAAGTTCCTGTAGATTAGTCTTTTTAGTATAGAAGCCTGGGACAGATCATCGGCACCACACACGTGGACTGAGTTCACCCCTTGTGCCATAATCAAACCCTTACCACAAATCCAATACACAAGTAATGATGTGTTACATATGCTAATTGAAAATCCAGCTTTGTTTGCAGAAGTATTCTTAAACATCAAAAACAAACTATAAATTTAATCATTAAAAACAACAACCTGTAACTGTGATGTTTTTGTTATCACAGTTGCAATATCAGTTTTTACTCTTCCATGTCAAGAATGTAAAATTTTATATGCACTTTTTTGATTCATCAAATCCAGAATAAAAATCTTATTTTCCTGTGGGTAGTTTCATAAAAGATTAATATAACAGACACTGAATATTGTTTGCATTGGATGTTGTCGCTATATATCTTGACAGTTGAGTGATTGATGGAATGAGTTTTTTTTTAATGAAAGTACAAGTACACAAACCCTGCAGTATGTTACCAATTTCTGAACCTTTAAAACTACTTGTAGCTAAAGCCAGGCTCGCTCCAGAGGAATTTTTTTTTTTTAATTTGTTGTACAACTGATATTTTTTTTTTGATTTTGGGAGCACTAAATGAGATTGAGATTTTTGAATATTTAAAAACTGGGGGAAAAGGTGGAAAAAAAAGGGTGGTTATGCTCCGTTTTATCTCATTAAATATGCTTTTTGTGTCTTAGGAAAATCAGGTGTACAACATATTAAACATTTTTTTCCTCCAGCGCCTCCTGGCTTCAAGTCTACTGCTACATACTGTATATATCAAGATGAAGAAAATGCTATTAATCAAATTGATTAATTAAATTCTATATTTTGTAGTACATGTAGCTTATGTTAGTCAGATCTATAAATTGCATATGCTGTACTGTACTCAAAAAAGACTGGAGAAAATAGAGATTGATTAAAGCTTGAGTTATACATTTACTACAAAAGATTGAGTTGCCAAAATTAATTTGTTTTGATTTATTTGGATTTATTTGCTATTCAATCGCAAGACACATGCAATAAAATATCACACAGTTTATTCAAAATATCAGAAAAGACTAAGAAGTAAAAGCTGGTTGTATGTGAACGAAAACTGCTAGGGAAATTTAGGTGGAGAAAATTCTAACCTTTAATATTGCACTCCAACTATGTTATTAAAGGATGGCTATGTTCTCTGTGCTGTATAAATATTTAACATTTAGGAAAATATGGTCAAATATGTTTTATTAGTCCAATGAGAGACTTAACAACGATTGAAATATTTTGAAATTTCAGTTTTTTAATAAAGTTCAATAATATAGTAAAAGATAACAATTGTATCCATTTCTTATTCTTTACATTTTAAGGTTGTGGATTGGTCAGTTGAGAGGTCAACGAAAGATGTATGCTTAAGCAAAGGAGAAACCACGGTAATTTACATTTGTTTTATCAATGTTGTTTTTTTCTTAAGTCTAATATCTGTCTTTCCTCTCTACTTTATTTCATTCTTAATAACAGTAAGTAACTCAAGCACCAGAACAACTAGATCAACATTATCATTTTATTTTTTGATGTAGGAGGATTGTTGTAATTTTATACGTGTGTTATTAATACAAGGTCCTTCGGTGTTCGTCTGCGGAACGTACGCATTTGCTCCAAGATGCGCTTGGCGAAACGTGAGTAGTCTCTTAGGATGTCTTATATTATCTGTCGAATAAAAATGTATATAAAATTCATTCTATATGAAGTAAATAGTTCATATATTAGTTTGTTTTAAAGTGTTTTATCGTTGTGACCTGCTTGTTCTTGTATCATCTGTTCATGTCAAATATGATGGATTGTCGTTGAAATTTGTTTCCTAAAAATGCAAATATCTTGAATATACGTTTCTTGCTTCAACGCTTTAGGGCGTTGATTCTCCGAGTTATTCATCTATTCAAGATATATTTGACTAAGTCATTTAGATAAAGAACATGATGAGGAAAAAGGTCAGATTGTCAAACCTTTTTCATTCCAATTTCACTTGATACAAATTTTTAAAATTTATGTATTAATTTTCTTTCTTTTTAGACAAATGACATTCGAGAAATGCTTGGAACGGTGAGCGGGGTTGCAAAGTGTCCATTCAACCCACACCATAATAGCACAGCCATCATTTCTAGCGATGGGGATCTTTATACAGGCACTGTTTCTGATTTCAAAGCTAGAGATCCATCTATCTTCCGTGCAATGGGACCCAGTCCTAAATTAAGAGCTGTTGAGTACAACTCCAAATGGCTAAGTGGTAAGTATTGGTCAAACAATAGTAGGAGGCAAAGTTAACAAAACAAAGATGACCACTACATAGGTGCATATATATACACTCCCTCCCAAAGTGGTGACATATAGATGGAAAATAGGGGAGCATCCCCAGATTTTCATATTTTCGCTGGCAAGTATGTGATAGTTGATATGAAACATATGAACAAGTTGCAGTTGTAATAGTTTCTTGTTTACTTTTATAAATTTATATACTGCCTACCAGCTTTCTTTTGCCGATAGCTAAATATGATATCGTCGCCAAATGTCAGTAAGCTGACGGCAAGTTACAAACAGGTGAGGAAACATGTAAAAGGTTTGACACAATATTATGAGTTGGAATCTGGTCTAACACCTGTTTAGGTAAATGATTTACCAGAAAAGGTTGGAAATAACTAGAGGAAGTCACTATTTATCAATAATCAGATCTGCAAATGTTTGTTGATATTGGGATACATTTTGTTCAAGTTAATTTTTCTACATATGTTTTTGAAACACCCCATATTTTATTGGGCTTTATCAATTCTTAATCAATGGAGATCATGGTGCATTGCATTTTTTTTTTAAATTGCTAGAATTTTGAAAAAACAAAACCTTTGAAATAAGTAAAGATAAATAAATTGAATAAATACATACAAAAAGGGAAATATTGATTGGAAAAATATCATTTCTATAGAGAGGTGCATCAAAAATTATTTTGGGTTTTTAATACCACAGTTGTGTAGAAAGATTGAAGTCTGGTAAGGTTTGCACTCCTAAGAACTTGTGTTGGAATACTGTATCAATACACTTATGGAGTTAAATAGGTTATCAAATTGGTAATAATGCAGTTTAGTGAAACATTAAAAAGCAAGATACTTTAGTCTACGGTTACCAAACCATAGCATGTACCTAAGTATCGTGCCACTCTCAATTAAAGCTGTAACAGTCTCTAATATCTAATTCACATAAATGTACTGAATATTAAATCAAATATTTAATCAAATATTTAATCAATCAAGAAGTTCTTAATATTTTTAAATTAACCATTCTACATGATTTGCTATTGACTGTAACATTTTAACTATATTGCCATACATATCATAATTGAGACGTATCTATATACATATTTGATTGAGAGTGATGCGCGATTGTAAGATAACGTAGTATTAATTATTGTTAAGCTCCTTGCAACCAAAGTATGAAATTACAATCTTGATGCTAAATACAGTACAAGACAAAGAATTTGCTACTGATGTTACATACACTACTTAAAAGCCATCTAGAAGGCATTATATATCATCAATACAGTGATAAATTATGTGTCTTAAACTTTGTTCACATTATCAAATTTTCTTTGACAAAAATACTGTTAATGCCCATATTTAGTCATGATGCGCCTATATATGGTCATCATGACCATATTTAGGCATGTCACATGTTTTGTCAAATACAATTTGATAGTCTGAACAGAGCTTTAAGCATGTCTGAAAGGATAATATTAATAATAATGTAATATAATATACGAATACAAGTACACAGCAACTATCAGATCCATGGTGCCTTGTCACTGTCCAAAATAAAGTTTGTATAAGTATAATACATGAATAGTAGTTTAGTTACTTATAGATGTTTACCTAACTCCATGCTTGTACCTATAACTCCTAGGATTTATTGAGCCTTCAACTAAATCCCTCATGTAACAATCCTTGGTTTAAAAGTCCAATTATTATTATAATTGGCAAGTAATCTGGAACTGAATTTACTAGGATACAGATCATTGCCATATCATTAATTGTCCAATAAAAATCCATGAATTAAATCTGTAATATTCTAGGGGTTTGTTGATCAAAATATGGATTTATTGAATCATTTTTTAATGACCAGGGCAAAGGTCGTTTGTGAGCACCTGCCTAATATGAAAACAAACCAAAAACACACCTTTAAAAGCAATGAAATCAATTTTGTTGGTGGAAATATGTGGCACATTTGTAAGGGTTTATGCTTCTAAAGTCGGTTCTCTCCCTGAGCTCTGATTGGTTGCACATTTAAACTACTAGAAATGTGAATGCGCATCAACCGACAATTTTGATTCTCGTGAATAAATTTGCTTAGTGGAAAACAGCCATAATTGTAAGGTTAATGGTTCGAGTAAACCCGAGGCTGACCATGTTATCTTCGAGTAGGTAATTCTGTACATATTTTCTCTGACCTGTGTCCACCTACTATGGGAGTATAATGAGTATTTTTGTATTGGTTGTCTGAGGCTCAGGGAGTGTAGTTTATTTTCTATCAAGAAAAAAAAAACAACTTGGTATTAGATAGGATTTGAACCTAGGACCCTGCAGTTGGAAGGCAAGCATCCTAACCGCCAAGCTACAACTCCAGTGTAATCATATAAATAAAATAAAAAAATAATAATCCACAGTGAGCCGTTTAATATGTGAATATGATTAGGGGCAGATCCAGAAGTTTTCAAACAGGGACACAACAGTTTCAGAAAATAGGTGAGTAGCACATAACATTGATTTGCATAGGAATTTTAAAAAATTTAGTAGCAAAATTGGGGGAGGAGGAACATACCCCCCATACCCCCTACTGGATCCACCCCTGATGCTGATTACTTGTTGAAAAATCAGGGAGCTGAGGAAGTGTTTTGTGTTTTATTCAGTGACTGGTGTAATAATTTGAAACACATAAATCATTATACTCCACATAAGAACAACATAATTTCCTCTTATTAAAAAAACAGAGTCCATACAGACTAGAAATTAAATTAGTATTATATCTAGATTAGTATAGTAATAAAGTGTATCTATTTTAGGAGCTAATCATTTTTATCCTATGTTTGTTTATTATGCCATAGTATAAAACTCAATTTGGAAATGCAGTGCATGTTGGAATTCATTTTAAATAAGCTTGGATATTGTGGGGAGGGGGCAGTGAATTATATTGAGATCACAAAATTAGAATTGTGAAATACGACATAACAGGTACCATTGACACATGCATGTCTACAGTATCATTGAAGTTGATGCAAGAAATGCTCCAAGGTCAGCTACAGTTCATCAAAGATATACTTAGATTTCAATTCTTATATTTATTATAAAATGCAGTCAAATCTAAGCAGAATTCTATGAGTAGATTTTTCAGATTTACATGGAAATAAAAACCAGCAAACTTTGCTCTATTAAAAACAAGAGAATTTCCAATGAGGAAGGAGTCATTTCCAAACAGCAAATTTATTATGCTTTTCTTCATCAACTGTTGACGTCTTGTGCTTTCGTTGTCAGTTGGAGTGTTATATAAATTCCCATGGTGATAATTCTGAATAAATTTTTGGGCATTTTATCCTTCTCGCATTCCTAAAATCTTGTAATGCAAGAACAGACACATTGTCTAGGTAACAGTGTTGTTGTATTACTATTCTGGATAGCAATTTTTTATATCAAGTTGTCAATTTATGTCCCCTGCGGGCACAGTTAACTGTTCCTGTTGGGATCGCTGAAACTTGCACTCTTCATAGAATGGTGTCAATTGTCATAGAGATAGAGAGGGGAAAATTCAGAGAAGGATAACTATAGATCTTTATTTCAACTTTCGTTACATATTTTACTTTAACCTGAGGCGATTTTAGTTTTATTCAACCCAATGGCAAAACCATTAGTGTTATTGTTAGTTGATGAAGATTTGTTACTTTTAAATTATTCATTTATGTATTTTTTTTATGGAGTTAGATTTTCAGTGCCAAAGAATACATTCTCCAAAATTGACTACTTTTCCTTAATATTATTAATAATATATTATTATATAAATATCATATTATAAGTGTGATAGCACCTCTGAGCATTGTTTCTGTCGTGGGGATTAGTGCTTTACAAATCACTGTTGATTCATTGTCTAATTGATTAATTGACTGAATATCTTTACAGTAGCTTCTAATCTACCTGATATCATTGAAGCGTAAATGAAGTAATTTAATCAATACAGCGATGTCTATAGAAACTCATTTGTAGAAGTATTTACAATTGGTCCTAGTATCCTTTCATAGAATATCAAAACAAATACCGGTACTTCAAAAACCTACAAAAATTAACAATTCAAATAAAAATGAAAAAACTGAAGTACACAATTAATTAATTGAATCTTTTTCCATCTTCTCCCAGTTTTATGATAGTGTTTCAATTTTATAATGTTAATATTCTTCTATTTTGAAGGCTGCCATGCTGTCTAATCTTTGTACTTTACAGTGCAAGAACTGAAGCCCGTAGGCCTACAGTTGGTGGTGATGTTTGGTACACTGGGAGGCAAACAGCATCCCCTACAATTGACTAAAACAATTTTATGGACAGCGCGATTAGGCTTGTGTGATGGATCATTTTTATCACGCTGCCACCGACAATCAGTAGACTGGTTAATTTAATGTAGAAGTGGTTGGTGCATCGGTTGTGGCTTCGAACCCCCGACCTCAAGGTCGGGGTTCGAAACTCTCGCTTGTGCAAGTTGCTTGTGTTCTTGGGCAATGCACTTTATCTACGGTTGTCTCTCTCCTCCCAGGAGTACAAGTGGGTACTTGGCAGGTTCAAACACAACCATGCGCTGATTACAGCTGCAACCTTATGGGGCATGAGTGTTGTTCCATGGAGGAATAAATTTATACCTCCATGGTTGTTCCATGTGCTTGATCCAGTGACCGGGGGTAATAATGTAAAGCGCATAGAGGTTAGTCTACAATATGCGCTATATAAGTCAACAATTATTATTATTATGTAATGTAGTGGGACCTGATATAGCGCATTTTACCGAAGTCTCAATGCGCTTAAAAAGATGATTATAAATAATTATTAAAAAGCAACCTATTGTTATATCAAGAAACTATTTAAATGCAGAGTAAAATGACTGAGCAGGTAAACCAAACATCACTGCATCGTTTGCCCACAATTTAAGACCATTAACAAGCAATGGTTGGCCGGGCACATTCACTGATGCTCTCATGATGTAAGGCAACTATCTAGTCAAGCCTACAATACTCGAAAAGTGAAAACTAAAACATGTTAGGCAAGCTCTCACTCAAAGGGCAAATTGGTTCATTGCCGGCGATCGCTCAAACTGACAACAAAACATTGATTTCAGGAAAATAATGATGAACATTTTTACATTAATTTTACGATGTTACCTGTATTTTAACTTTAGTGTAGGCCTACCTGTTGACAGGTTCCTGAAAGTGGTCAGGTGTGATAAAATAAATGCTTTGAACTTAAACTTTGAACTGCTGATTAAGGTTTCATATGTATACATGGAAGGAAGATTTATGTATATATGATTCACTTTCATTTATAACTTAATATTGTTTAGAAAGTAATGATAAGCCCACTGAATAATGTCAATTTCTCTGACTTCGTATTGACCCAAAAATATTTTTTTTAAATCAAGGAACTGAAAATACAAACTCTTGTTCATTTATTATTCATCTTGTATTTCTATATTGTATTTTCTTGTTTTTATTTGTAATGTAATTTATAATCAAGACAAAACACATCACAAATGTAGAGAAACTTTACTTTACTAATAAATACATCATATTGTGTTGTAAAATGGCTCAAATTAAGTTGAAACATATCACAAGCTTATCACACTTTGTAAATGATCAACTCAATTTCAATGAAGGCTGGTCATTTTTGGAGTCCTGAACAGAAACACAGTAAAAAAGTACATAAATTAATGTACTGTATAGAAGAAAAAAAAGCATTTCAAAATGAAATGTCAGAGGTCATTTGCACAAAAAAAAATGTATCCCGTTCTTTTTAACTTGAATTCAAGCCCTAAGGCTGTCTTCTTTTTTGCCGTAGTTTGAAACTACTAATGGATTGATAAATAGATTTTCAATAGTACCTATCTTAAGTGACGGTGAAAAGGGTTCATCTGTGGGTTAGAAGCCAGAAGTAGTAAGCCAAATGAAGTTTTTACATTACAAAGCTAGTATTATGTTGCTTTTTGTCAAAATTTGGTTTTTCTGGGGTTTTTCCTCAATCATTTTTCATTTAAGTTACTAATATTTAAGTTATTAATACTTAAGTTATTAATACTTAAGTTATTAATATTTAAGTTATTAATATTTAAGTTATTAATATTTAAGTTATTAACATTTCAATCAAACCTATTATTTTTCTTGTTATAATGCTTTGCTGATATTAATTTTTTAAAATGTTAGGCAGACTAGAAATTAATTCATAAAAACCAAAGGGAATAAAATATTTATCATGCATTTTCCATAATTCATTTATTTTTCAGAGCCTAATTTTGTATCATCTTATGAAATCGGTCCATTTATTTATTTCTTCTTCCGCGAAACGGGTATAGAACACAGCACTTGTGGAAAGGTAAGCATATTAAATTTCGAAAAAATAATAATATTCATAATCATAAATTGCTTTGCATTTATATAGCATTGTTGCTGTAAGTCTCAGAATTGTAGACACAATCATACCCAACTTCCTCAGATCCATAATGAGTTTCCTATACATGCATAAATATTCAGAACCCACCATATAAATTAAACATACAGTAGAAGATTCATATCTTACTAATTCATTCTCTGTGGTGTAGGGAGATTAAAGTGAGTAGACTAATGGGATTCGAACCTGCAACCTCATGACTGAGAGCCTGAACCATACCTGCTGCGCCACTAATTGATCAACGGTTAATTAAAATGATTGATCAACTTACAAAACTACAAATTCCTAATTTACAAGTTCTAATAATAGGTTAATCTACACAAAAATGAGTATGGTAGTTTAACATTTTCAACTGTGTATAGCTATAGTAATTAATGGAATTATTTGTTGTTGATCAATATCTAGTATAATATTAAAACAGCATGCCAGATACATATTGTTCCAAATGCTTTCTCTATTTTTATTTAATTATAAGAAGTGAAAATTATATCTGATCACTTCTGTTTGGCGCTGTTTATGATAAATTCTAATTTATATTCTACAGTATCAGTAATCAAATGTATAACCTATAATCAAAGAGTGTAGAACTGCAAAAGATCTGACTGCCCTTATTTTGTATGCAGACAATGGAACGTTTAAAGTAAAATAGAGGGCGTCCTACACATAATTCCGGAACTCGTACACGTTGCTTCGCATCTTGTAAAGGCCACGCCCCTTCGTGGAAGTGCTTTTTGAGATAGGATTGCGTTCCAACGAATCCCTGGCAGTCGGACCTTTTGTAGCATAGTATTTAACAATGTTAATGTGTTTATCATCATAAAAGCCAATAACTTTGGCCTACAAAGAGTTCATTTCAAATATTTAATTTAGTTTTTAGTTCTGAACCACTATATAAAGTGTTCACACCTATTGTCTTTTTAGGTATTTAAAAGGCATAATTGATGTAACTTTTAGCATTATTACATTGTTTATGAAATGTTCTTAACTACAGCATTAGTACGTATAATGTAAACTGTATGAAGCGTTAGTGATCTTGTATGATAAATTGAGTAAGATGTGGTGGATGATATCGGAGCAGATGTCAAGCTGTAAATATCACTATTGAAATGGTTGCTGGTCCACGCTCCAAATCTAACTTGATTTGTCACTAATTTAATGACATGTTCAAATGTGATGCATTTGTGTGGTGCCAATTTACATTTTGGCTCAGGACACTAAAGAATGGTGATGATAGGGGGTTTTCACACTACAAGAAGTAATGTTAAATTTTAGGAACATTAAGTATAGGATAGCAAATTTATTTTTCTGCTTGGTTAATAATATATAATACCTTTCTGTTTTTCCAATCATATTTTATTTCATTTACTCTTGTCTAAACCATTAGCCTAAGGGTAAGACTTTCTGTTTGTGGGAAATTTAAACAATATAAAGTGAAATATGCTTTCTATATATTTAAAATAAAACTCAATAAAAACACATTTATTGACTTTTTATTAAAATATGCCCTAGTTACTCTAATTTTTATACATTATTCGTTATAGGCCCCTTCCCTCCCATAAATTTTTCAATATAAAAAAATAGAAAAAAAAATACATTCAAATTTTCAGTTGGGAGTGCCATTTCCATAGACTTTTGTCCATGGTGGGGCTGAGGTGGTCTGCACCCTCTGTCTATGGGGTTTGTAAATAATATTGAATTGAAATCAAATCAGAGAAACATCATTTTTTTCAGAAGCTGGATAAATTCGCTAAATTACTCAAATTTCTCTTTTTCTTAAGAGATTTAATTTAATTTTTTGATGTACGGTACTGTAGTTTTTCATTAATGTTTTTTTTTACATTGCTATCATTTTCTTTAATTTTTTACAGACAGTATACTCAAGAGTGGCTAGAATATGTAAGGTAATGAAAATTTTCAAATATTTATGATATAATCATCTTTCTATGAATGTTGTAATGTAAGCTAATAAAATATTCAGTGAAATGAAGCAGACGACGAAATACAAGCAGATGACGATAACGTGACTGTCTGCCTTTTTGCAACATCAATCTTACTGACTGAAAGCTTTTGTATTAGCACTTCCTATTGGCTGATATTTATTCAGTAATGTTTAGGAGATACAGGTATGGCCAAAGTTCATAACTAGTGTAATTATTATTTAAAATATTTAAAGGTTAATTATTATTTATCATATAATTTTTATATTATTTGTTTTAATTTTTAATGGCAAATTTGTAATTTTATGATTTTATTTTAGAATGATGTTGGAGGAGAATATGATAGAGATGATCATTGGACAACATTTACTAAAGCAAGAATCAACTGTTCTTTACCTGATTCTTTCCCCTTTTATTTCAATGATCTTCGTAAGTATCACTTCACCAACTTATTAATTAGTAAGTTACAAATCTTTCTTTTTAGATTTTCTTCTTATTTTAGATCATTACTTGTATGGTGGTATGTGATGAGGATTTTTCTGCCAATCAGATTTGCTGATGGAATCTTACATGTGATAAGTTAATGTAGAAAGAAGAAAAATTCGAATATTTTTATTCATGTCAATTTAACCAGCCAATCAGATTCATTCTTATGGAAGTAGTTTAATGTAATTTGAAGATGCCTACTTCGTCTGGTGAGACGCTCACCTGATGAAACTGCCATAAACTGTTGGCGCATAAATTTCACTTACTGCTAGTCACAAAGTGTTACTCGTCTATTATTCTTCATCTTATGATTTTGACACAGCTATTTTAAGTCATCTAATTACCACTAATCTAAATTGACTTCTGCCAAGGAAAATATTTCGTCTAAGAAAAAATATTTTTAGTTTATTCATGTCACAAACTTGTTTCATTTCAGCATGCCAGTTATAATTAGCTTCATAGGAGGTGTATATTGTCTGTTTTATTATTTCTAATATATCAATGCATTCATGAACCATCTTTTATCTGTAGAGGGCGCCAAACATATTTTTGATTGTAAATTTTCATTTCACCAATTTACACACAAGCCGATTACAGCCAGTGACAACTTAAGCAATATTTTATTATTATAACATATTAAATCATATTTCGTACATATACAACCATTTATTAGGATTAAATACTATTATTTGTTATTTGATATTGTTATTGTTTTTATCATCATTAACATTGCCAATTCTTCATTATTATTATCATAGGTAGTAGTAATTAAAATGATAAAACTACTATGTATTTAGCATCTTGTGAATTGATTCGTCCTCTTGAGCTGCAGCAACCAAGTGATGGCCAAAGGATAATTATGGATATCAGCTTAGAAACATAGTCTTTGTGTTCTGAGAATTTGGAAGGTTTTAAGTTGTCGCCATATAGGTCTGGTTATTATACGTAATTGCGCCAACTTGCATTAAAGATGCACTGTCTTCCAAAAGAAAGAAGAAAGCAGGAAAAATTCAAAAATTTAATTTGAAATGGTAAAATAGGTTATTAACCTCCAACCAGAAACAAATTGAAAAAAAATAGACATTTTACTATAAAAATTCTTAAATTAATTTTAAGTCAATTTAAGGGTCTATGCAAAAGAATACAGCAAAGGTATTTAACTGTCTATTAATTGAGTTGGCAAAATTTGTTATCTTTCAATAATTTTTTGTATAAAGTTCATTACTGGAACTAACAAATTCAAACATGTAACTGAATTTTTCTTTTAGCTTTCTTTTAGCTTATGACAGACAGTACATCTTCAATAATTCTGCACCATAAGAGACCAGTGTATTATACATCCAATCTTATTTTAGTACTTCTTAGTGTTGGTCCATTTTTCTGAATAAGAATTTAAAAAAACTTGGGTTAATACATTATAAAGTGTATACTTCAAGATTATTTATGTTCTCTGAATATCAGAAAGCCATCAGGTATCAACACTAGATTAGGGAACATGGCTCAAATTCCCAGACTGTCTCTACAAACCATTATTAATGCATCATTATTTGAACTTGTGACCCTTTAAGTATTCTCATATATCTCATCATTAATGATTAATGTGAAGAAACATCATCTGTATAATTATCTCACCTTGAAGATATTTTCAAATTTTATTTTGTATGTCATTTCAGAATAAAATATTTCTCACCATTTGGAAGTGATTTTTCGGGGGATTTATTCCTCTGACAATCTTGGAGGTTTGCTGAGGGCAGTACAGATGTGATAGTCTTGTAATCTCCATAGATTAAATCTATTAGTTTAAAAGATTAAAATTGCCTAAATATTTGTGAAAATACCATATTGACTTAAATAATTATATTCCAAGGAATTTTATTTAATTCTTCAATTTAATGTTATACTGTATTGCTGCATAAACCATCAAGGGCTATTATCCGCCTAAAATAATAGTACATGATCGAAAAGGAAAGACGACACGGTATTAAAATCTATACATATTCCATGATCCTTTTAGTTTTTAATTATTATTCCTGTTTTCTGGTTTTTTGTACATTTTACGGTAACTTAATTCCACAATCTTTAAGAGGGATGCCTTGTCCATTCACAGGCTTCTTGAAAAATACCATTATATTTATAATCAGTGAAATAAAAGTCACATGGCTATTATATCATCAGTCTTTTACAACCAAATATGTTATAAATTTTTGAACTTCCTCTAATTTGGCCTGGGATTAAACATCTAGAAAAGCTGACATCTATTAAAAAGAAAATGTGAAAAAAGAGATCCCTCTTTTTTCAAGTTTTTTCCTACTTGGATTTATTGTCATCATTCATACACAAATATATAAAATGAAATAGAATATTAGCATCTTTGTAAATTGTTATATCATAGGCCGGGGCCTATGGAGCAATACTACACTTGTTTTTTATAAGAACACATTTATAAGAACACTGAGGCTGAAATTGCTTACAAATTAAGGACAAAATAAAAACAAATTGAGGCTGAGGTAAAATGTCAAATGAAATTTTTATTTAAAAGAAATAAGAAAAACCAACAAATCTTATCTGTACCTTATTTTGCAGTTGGTGTGACAATGTAATACCACTTATAAGACAGCAATATACTAATAGTTTTCTTTGTTTGAAAAATGTGTAAAAATAAGAACAAACTAAGAGCAGTTTGAGCCTGAAATCGGCCAAAAAATAAGAACACTGAGTTTGGGCAAAATTTTACTGGTTCTTATATAAAACAAAAAGTGTAATAGCAGTGCTCTTATCTACATCACTGTCATACTTCTTGGTCATTAAATACATTAGGCAACAACACACCATTTTACAACCTTCTCTGCCCCCCTCGGGATTGTTTCTAGTTAGGCAGCTAATTCAATACCAGACCAATTCCATTTGGAAACCATTTACATTTTTCCAGGTACCCATTTATGCTCCCTAGGTGTTTGAATTGTGTATTTACATAGGTTATTTGCTTTCAATTGAAGTTGAGAAAACATTTTCTTTTCTTAAATCGATGCATAAATAAGACCTTTCCTACATTCATTTGCATCGGCCCTTAAATTGGCTTGTAATCTACTAAATGTGCTACATAGCAAAACAGTCTAAACCTGTGTCTCATTTGACGTTATTATCTTTAAGTATTCTAATGAGTTAAATTAATTTTATAAGATTTTATTTTTCAGATTTTAAAACAAACGCTTTTTCAATTCAAATTCCAAAGGGCTGATGTACCCACTGACATTGTACTAGGAAGTATCTTTTGCAAATGTAGATTCATTTACAGTCTATGGCATAATAATTTTCATCGTCATTTTCGAAAGATTACAGAACTGTCTCTTTCCATTCCTCAGGAGTAAATATGAATTATGTTGTCAGAATTTTTGGTACAGTATACTAAAAATATGTTCATGGACTAGCGTGATTATTATCTGTCAAGTGAAATAATTCATCAATGCCAAGCTCAAGTTTTAAACCAAATCGCTAGAATATTTATGAATTTCTTACAAACGACTTGATTACTGAAAGCTTTTTGTAGGCATTGATGCTTAGCAAACATCAAGGCTTCTGTCTAAGCCTAGATTTTACTGCAATCATACCTGGATAAAATAAATTTCCTGCAAAGATTAAACACGGTGAATAAGGAAACCACAAACAACATCGTGCATTTCGAACCTCAGTTGATTTCACATACCTAAAAATTTCACAGAAAATTTTTAACAAATGTTGAAAACAGTTATATTAATTTTATTATGTGCAAAAAACCAAAATGGCCAAAATTTAGCAATTGAGTGTAAGTTACATTTTATTTTAAGTGTGAAATAATTTCAAATGTTCACAACATAAGAAGTCACAGACTTTTTTTTTTCTTCTTTTTTCTAGGCACACTGTTTTCTATTTAAGTCTGTGTAAGGCCTCAGAGTGCTAAAATCACAGAGTGAATATGTTATGTTGCCTCGTTTGTCTTTCTAGTGTTGCTGGCTTGGATTCTTTCAGGAAATCATAATTTTCTTTAAATCAATATCTAAGTTAAATATTTTTGTTTTCTTTCTCCAGAAAGTACTCACTATATACCAGAGGAAAAAGTAATATATGGCATATTCACAACAGACAGGTAAAAATAAAATAAATTATTTTATATACAATTAATTGTTAAAAAATTATTTTTGAAAATATATTTTTGAAATTTCTTTACGCATTTAATTACATTTATTTCAATGTTTGAATTGCTGAATATGTACATAAGAAGAAGACCTATCTAACCTTTGTAAATTGAAGTAACTTATTCGCTCTCACATGAAAAATAGAACCAGGACATGGTGTCCTGGCCAATTAATACATAGACGATCGTATGTTCTTTTGTGTATGCTCTTAAATTGGCCTGTAATCAATTTAAGTATTTCGTATTGAAACATCTGTAAATCAGTTAAAAAAACTGAATTGTTTTGATGTGTGGAAAGTTAATACCCTGTTAGATCTTTAAGCCCTGTCCAAATTATAACATTTTATTTGAGAAAAATATGTGACATCCCTAAATATGGTCATGATGACATCACATGACATTAATGTATAATCTTTGAATTTCTAGTGTATTATCAATATCAAACTCAAGTTTTGAAACCTGTGTATTGGTTTCTTTTATATTCTTTATTAATTTTCTATGCCTGGTGTTGAAATGCCATGACCATTGAATGGGAGGCACTGGTGCTGTAACAGTGTACAGATATTAATATTATTTACAAATATGTTTTTACATTTTCTGCTAGGTACAGTATATCAGGATCGGCTGTGTGCAAGTACCACTTAGATGACTTAGAAGTGGCTTTCTCAAGCGACTACCAGTATCAGCACAAGTCTCGTGCAACGTGGGTCCCTAAGAAAAATTCAAAGCCAAACTTCGCCGTAAGTCGTGGTTAAACTTTTTTTCTTTACATTTTTTTTTCTTGTTTTTTTCTTATACTCTTTAAAAAATTCTTCATAGAAAGTGTTGATAATCCTTTATGAATGTACCCTCTATTTGGCCGGATCATCCCTTAAAGCCTATTCTATGAGAATTTAAGTATATTTTGATGCGATTGCTAAAGGTTGTGTAAATATAGTATTTCATCTGAGAACCGTCACTCCTCTTCTCTGTAATTGAGTATTAATATTTTCAACCTTGCAAGAAAAATTCTTTAAAGCATGAAAAAGTACAATTGCCAACACCATGGAGAATTCAAATTTGAAAAACAAAGTTATATATAAATTTTTATTTTGAATAAGAAAAAAACACCATGAGGCATTTAATAATACAAACAACTGTCTTTAATCATAAACCTGATCACAGGCTCAATAGTGGCCTACTGATCAGGTTCACTGTGTTTTTTCTACTGATTTTTATTATGATTATCAATTGTAAAAAATTATAAAATGTGTAATAGCCACAGAGTAATCCTGTTTTGTCCAAACCATCTTCACCCTTTTTTCCCAAACCATCTTCCCCCCTGTTTGTACTATCAAAATGGCCAAATTGTCTCTTCAATTTTTTTTTATAAAACCCCATTATACAAATATGCTGATACAATATATGTATTACTACATTTGTAAACACACTGTACGTCATCTGGAAATATTCCAGGGAAAAAAAAAAAACTTTTTGCACCTTATAAATCAACAATATTATTATTATTAGTATTTTATTGTTTAGAAACTTCTTACTACTGTACCAATGCATCTGTTTAGCAAGAAAAATGCTTCATTTTCTAATTGAAATTATTTCCTTGCTATTCACTATTCAATCCAAGACCCTTCTAATTTGAGACACCTTTTCAAAGTACCAACTAGTAATGTTCAACCTTTTCACCCAAAGTTAACCCTCTAATTAGACAATGAACGCTGAGACCACCTCAGATTTTCAGGTCCCAAATGTGGTCTCTAATTGGAGGGCGAACAAATATTGAATTTTATTCTACTCTTCTATTAACTACATGCAGACAGGCACGTTCTCTATATTAATGTTGTATGCTGAACGATTTGAAAATGATGAATTAAACTTATATGTGTTCCCATAATCACCATTCCTTAGAGCATACTCACACAACCATGATACATAACCCTCTAATCATGTATTACATGAGTGAAATAGTAAGTGATTATCATTGCAGTGCTGCATATATGATCACATGATAACAAATATATGATACAGATTTATATTGATGGCTTTGGATCTATAGCAATGAATTTTACGCGAATGATGAATGTTCCCTTAAGAATCCAGGCATCATTAAGTGCAATTTTCGAACATGTTTAGTGCTTTTCCGTGTGGAAACTAATCGGCATCAGTCTTAATAAACCTCACAGGATATAGTCCGTCTCCGCTACAAAGATTTATGGTGTCTTTTGCCTTATATTTCATGAACTTGTGGAGACATTATTCAGTAATAGGCTGTCCTAGTGCGCCCTCTGTACTCAAATTGAGTTGTATGATTGTTAAATGCTAATATGTAATTATGTAAATGGAGTAATGAGTCGGTATGTATGTCAGCTCTTAATGTAAAACCCTCTATGCTCTATAACCAATTGTCTCTGTAGGCGAGACTTTTTTATACTTTGTTTAACAAACCCACCAATAATCATGATTTTTTAATAAAAATAAAACTAACACACCCGTCGCCATGAAAAAATTTAAATTTACTTTATTTTTATTATGCCCTCCACTACCTTGAAATAACCAAAAATGAAATATGTATTTTCTTTCTAATTATATAAATTTAAAGCATGTAATCATCACATTACTACACTGTTTACATTTAACAATAACATTGTGTTTTTATTTTCTCCCCATCTGGATGTTTTTGGCAAAACCATTTGATAAATAAGAAAACAGAATTTAATTTTTATTTTATTTTCTGCCCTCCTCTGACGATTTAAAAAAAAATGAAGTTCACGAAACAAGGTATAAAAGTCTCGCCATATGTGGCATGGAACCAGAATATTTGTTATACAAGACAAGTCTTGACGTGATGTGTCCTGGATTTGAACCCACCACTTTGAGATTGGAGGGAGAACACCTTAACCATCATTTTCATTTATTAAATTTTACAAAGAAATAGAGAAGCCAAAAGAAAATATAAATTAAATCAAATGCAGTTATCTACTCACTTCCTTTTTCAATTTATTTCACCTTTATTAACTTTTTATTCATAAAATTACAAAGAAATTTGTGTTTAATGTTTTAAGGTTTTTTGACACTCATTTAAAAAAAATAATTGCAAATTCATCCAAAGCCATGCAATTGATTCTGTCATGTATCTAATAATCTGACTTTCAGTGCCAAATAAGAGGAAAACGTGGTGACTCGAAGGTGTCTGAATTCCTAACTGTCAGAAAGCTATCTGAAGCAAGAAAGTACCAGTTGATGGACAAAGCTGTACAGCCATCAGGCAAACGGCCAGAGTTTATTGAAAAGGACACAACGGACAGGTTTGTAGCGTATGTCTTTTATTAAAAAGCCATCTTAAATAATGTAAGGCAAGGGGAGGATGTCTTCCAAAAAAAAAATCTTTCTCTAAAATCAATCATTACACTCTGGCAATGATTTAATTGTGGTATCTCACTTATTGCATTTTTATGAAACATGCCAACCCACCAATGCCAAATTCTGGGAAGATTCTTTAAAAGTATCTGCAGGTTTTTTTTCCTATATTAGAAATTAGGCATAATAGCAGAATATAATATATATGAAATTATTATTATTATGCCTACTTTATTAATGAGGTGGTACAGTATCAAAATAATATGTCAATAAAATTTGCTATTATTTGTCCACTTTTTAATAGTTATAATTAATTTAAATTAATAATTATCCTAATTTACTATGTCATGATAGTGATTAAGTTTAAAAATTGTAAATACCATATTTATAAAGATGTTCTAATAATACTATTAATCTTGTTTTCGATTTTGATAAATTTATTTAAACCATATTTTATTAAACTTATAATCTATTCACATTTTATATTTGAATTTTAAATCTTAAATTCTTAGGCTTTCACAGATTGTAGTTGACGTGGTTAAAGGAAAAAACTCATCTTTTCATGTCATGTTTGTTGGATCAGGTAAGGAAAAATTGAATTAAGCTCAAATTCAATTTGTTAAAATTATTTTTAGTTTAACAAGTGACATTCAACAAAATATAATTGTCAGTTTCAGTAATGATGGCATGATTTTATAATTTTTAATATAATTTATTTAGTCCTTAGGATATTATTACAACCTAAATACAAAGTTGAGTAATTCCACCTGTTCATACAGGATTGTCAGAGCATGCTCGGAGTGAACTGATTCACTACCAAACGGCTCTTTCCAAGGCCAGTGTGAAAGGATACATAAAATGTAAATTGACAATGTATTACAAATCACGATAAATACTGTATTTAAAATTAAATAAAATACTACTTACAATAATGTACTTAAATTACATTAGATTGTGTTTAAAACATCTTTATTACATATTTGCAAATGTCAACATAGGATCAACATAAAGTTTTTTTTTTTCATAAAACTATTTTAAAATGCTGTTAATATGATGAATTTACAGTGTGAGTACATAATTATACTGTAATAATACAAATACAGGTCTCGCTCTAAGTAAATTCCATTTTTGGGACCAGGGTTCCATTGTCTTTGGCACTTTGGTCTCTAACTAGAATAATAAAGATAAAAGACGTTGTTAACTTGTGACCACAGAAAAAGTAGTGTTTAACAGGGTGTTTAATTAGAGGGATACTTGTATATGTATTATATAGCACATCTTCACATATCAACTCAACATGCTTTACAGGAGGAATGATGAAATATTAGATGCATGTTTATTCAGAAATGCCTATAAAGTATAAAACTGGTACAGAAACCAAAAAAAAAAAAAATCATTTATCACACAATTTAATTTTAAGGTTATTGTGTACCCTGGGAAGATATTAAACTATTAGTACATGAGTGAGTGTGTACTATTCACAAGATAGTCAACATGTCTGGTGTTAGAATTACTAAATTTGTGTTGAGTAATTCAATATATAAATTGGACATGTCTCATCTTGCAAGTGTGGACTGTTTTTATTGTTTTACATTATGAGAAATATTTGTAACACAGATTGGAAACAATTTTCAGCAGAAGGACATTATATTATTTACTTTTTATAATTCAAAATTAAAATGATATGTATTGCTTTTGGTGGTTTGTTTTCAAAGAGGAAGGAAAAATACAGAAGTTGATGAAACTGCCAGGGACTGATGTTACATGTGTCTTGGAAAAGTTTGATGCCTTACCAGTAAGTGCACGCTTCATTTATCACACATCATTAATGAAATTACACTACGAAATATATAATACCAATTTTACCTGCTGGAATTGATTCACTTGCCTTTGTGAACCTATAGCTTTTGCCTGATTCATCATCCTTCATACATGGTCAGATGTTATCAGCTGTCCCTTTATTTCTGATGATCACGTCATGTGTCGGTAGCTACAACACAATTCAAAACCCAAAATTGTACTAGTTTCTAGGGGCTTTGTCCCTGACCTTCTTTATAGGATTCTAGGCAGCCCTGGCCCGACCACTTATGCTTCCACCAGTGAAACATCTCACCCATCTTTTTACAGTATCTTATTACTATGTTTTCTCTCATTTTCCAGGTTGGTCATAATGAAGGAATTAAAGTTATCAAGCTTTCCAAGAAAAAGGCACGTATGAAAATAAAAAAAAAAACACCATTATTTATTTAAAAAAAAAAAAATAAATAAATATGAGATTGTGTTAATTGTCACAATAAAACAAAATACAATAATAATAATATTTATTCGGCAAATTAAAAGTACAATCTTGCCAGGAGCAAGGAATAGGTACAAGCTGAAACTGCCCTTGCTCCATCATCAAAACATACAGTAAAGGCAAAAGAGAAACATAAAAAAGTAGCTGATTTTAAATTAACTTAACTGAAAAAGCTAAAAAACTTAACAAAATTTAAAATCCTGATTTGAAATTAACTCAGAATTTTTGTACAGTTAAAAAAAGGTAAATTTGTAAAAACAAGGAATATTCAAAATATAAACAGAAAAACACAAATTTGAAAAAAATTAAAAAAACAAATCAGTAGCTTGAGATCAAGTATTTAGTTAGTAGATATTTGAAAAAAGTGGTTGCGGATAAGAAAAGATATGAAATCAATTTTTGGAAACTAGTATGTTTCTTTAAACCCTGCACTACATCCAAACCAAAATATTTGTACCAAAGATTTATAACTACCTCCTAACACTAACCCAAGAGATACATAAAAGTAATCCAGGTAAAATTGAAATGTGGGCCACCTTGGAGATAGTAGGACATATTTTAAAGTTAGTAATTAGGTTGTTCTTTAAATCTCATAAATTTTTTCTCTTTATAGTTAAGGAACATTTTGCAGTTTAGTGTTGTTATATAACTAAATGATTTTTAATATACAGGTCTCCCTCCAATTAAAGACCATCTTTCTGTGGTTCCAAATTAACAAATGTGATTTGTCTTTATTATTCTAAAGCTGCTAAAGACCATGAAAATCCTGGTCCCAGAAGTGGTATTTAACTGTAGGGAGACCTGTATAGAATAATATGTAATGTAAAATTAATGAATAAAAAAATGATTCATAAAAGATCTTTAATGACAAAGCATAACATTGCTTTGCTATAAAAGTTGCCCCTACTAAGATACAATAAACCATGTTTATTATTTTTCCCGGAATCTCGGAATCAACATTTAATCCGCATTCAAAGAATGAGAGTCAATCACATCCGACCTAGGAGTGTGGTAAATGTGGTAGTTTTGTTAACAGGGTCAAGGATTTGAACTGTTAATTTTTTTTTTAGTACTGTTATGTTTGGCTTTTGACCAAATATAGAATTTTTAGCAACATTTTCATGTCCTGTGAAATTGCTAAAATCCGACTGAAAGCTGATTGGTGAGACAGAACTGCCAGCAGGGTCTACCAAAATCTATCGCACAACTCAGCAATATTTAACATGCGCACAACTAAACGCCATTTGTTTTGCCCCATGTGGGCCTTTGTATATTTTTCAATCAAGATACTAGAGAGCAATCTATCCAATGCACAGTTGGAAATGTAAATACTTTGAGCTCCATATTATTGCCTATAGCAATTCTAAGAAATAGTAGTCAGAAACAAATATTATGTTAAGTAACACAAACTCAGGTATATTAAAGCCTAGTATATTAAATACAATGCTAAACATAATACTGTACTGGTACTTATTTTTGAAATAATTGGCAATTTTTTATTTTGGTAGACATGAAGGGGAAGGGAATTGAGAAGGAGTGACATTAATGATGTATAAAGGTCACTCTCACTTTAGGCAACAATGTAAAATTTATTTCCAAGTCACAACCTTTCCAACCTCCCTCCATTCCCACATCAACAGGTTAATAAGGTCAAGAATTTGAAACACAAAATTGATCTGGATTTTGAAATATGCTGCTTGTCTTCTTCATCTGCAATAAATTTTCTCATTGATCGTGCTGTTATGTTTGGATGTTAACCAAATGTAAATAAATACTCTAGTAAGAATCACATTTCAAACTATTCAGAAATTAATTAATATGTCTTGATCATTATATCATATATCAAAATTCTTTCAAAACAAAATTATCTTAAAAAGTAATTTTTCGGGTAGGGAATGGGGTATTATCAGTGCTAATATTCCCATGATGTTACCTTTTGTACTATATGCAAGTTTTTTGTAACTTGTTGTTTTATGCCCTAAAATGTAAATTTTATTTAATTTATTAATTTGTTTAATTTTCAGGGTGTATTGTTTGTTGGAACCAACAGTCAGATAATACAGGTGCCATTGCAGCGATGTGATCGATTTCTAACTTCTAGGTATTTTAATACTGTTAAAACAGTTCTAAACAGAGTGATCAATTACCCTCTATACCAGTGTTTGTTATGATGGAAAGTAGTGAGCTAACACCAGGGACAGATACTGGAATTTCAAACGCTATAAAAGGATTTCCAAATGGCAACTCTATAGCTTTGCTTTTGTATTCTAAAAATTCTGGCAGCACATATTCTAACTTCCTTGTGTATTGCAATGGGAGGCTGTGCTAAACACAGCCTATAGGCCCTCATTGTTAAATGTGTAAAAAATAAATTAAATTTAAATTTTTTCAAAGTGTTAGCATAATATTTCATGTCTGATTCATTATTATATTAATTCTTGTGTAAACAATCCTTCCCCCATCCATTCTACCTCCAATGAATTCAGCTCTTAAGAAAAGGCCATAGAATCTATACAATAAACCATATAATTGGGATAGTGCAGCCATTCATTATAAAATGTTTATATTCTACAGGGATTGTATTGATGCTAAAGACCCATATTGTGGTTGGGATCTCAGACAGAATAAGTGTACCACAAAACACAGGTAAGAATTAATGTTTGATATGATGTCTGTTTCAACTCGTCTTTAAAACTCTGACAAAAAAACTGTTGTATGCTCATATATAGACCGTATATAGGCATGTCACATGTCAAGAAAATTTTTTACTAATGATGTTCCATATATGTGGCAAAGACAAGCCAAACCAGTCATTCATCGCAAATTGTGTTTCAGAGAAAATAGCAAAAACATGCTAGAATGTAAAATTTTTAAAAATCAATTTTATTTCACTAAACTGAGGTTTATGTATCTATACATCATGCTGTGCTGATATTTTTCCCAATTTCAATGTTAAAACAACACTTTTTAAAGATTTTATGATAGCTTCTGCATGAGAAATGCCTGAAATCATAAACTTTGAAGGCTGATTTCTCATATATTGTTCTTTAAACAGCTGTATACTTAAATGCTTGTAACTTCTTAAGGAAATGTCGGATTTGAATGATTTTTTTAACCATTTTATAGCTCTTATTTTACTCTTTAACCCTGTATTAATAACTCAAAATCGATTTTTGCGACGAGTGACTGGTTTGGCTGGTCTTTGCCACATATAGTGATAATGTGCCTATATATGGTCATTATGTGATGTCATCATGACCATATATAGGCATGTCACATGTTTTTGTCAAATAAAATTTGATGGCCTGGACAGGACTTTACTCCATAATCAGATTTAACATGTGTTTGATCAGATTTAACATGTGTTTGATCAGATTTTGCTTGTTATTTATTGTTTATTGATTCAATTGATGAAGTGTTGTTTTTAATGAAGTACTACATTGTTTGACTTCAAACAGAAAAAAATACATGCTTTGTTTGCTCAGATATATTTGATGCAACCATACATATCCGAAAAGCATTGTCTGGTAAGTCAGACAGACAAATGTGGTGTAGTGTATAACAAGCTTCAGATTAACTGTTAGTGGTGAGTTTAAAACAGGTGGAGATGGGTGGGGTGGGAAATGACATGCCAAAGTTACTGTAGAATGTTGTCAAGAAGGTCAGAATCTAAAAGCCATTAAGACTAACCTATCAAATTAATGCAATGTTATAAATGTTAAATTGTTGCTAATTTTAGTACATTTAAAATTGATTAATTTCCTGATTTCCCTTTTTCTCATTAATTGTTTAGTGCAAAAGATCATTCCCTGTGGCAACAATCTATTGACAGTTGTCCTGTCCAACACAGTATTGCAGGTAAATAACCAATTTGAAAATGTTGATTTGATAGAAAAGGAGGAGTGGAGCTATGACTTTGAGCTATGACTTTGCAGTAAAATTGCCTTCTTTGCAATCACAAATTAATTTCAGTTACATAATTAATTTATATTTTTAAAATTATTTCTCAACTATTTTAATATTTTTTACCAGCTTTTTAATGAGCTGAATTTTTTCTTTTTAATGAATAATACAATTTATTGTATTTCACTCCTATGAATTGTAATATATGTTGAAAATTTATCAATAATTATAAAGATATGAGTTTGAAAATATTTTATTTTAAATTTTGTAATAGCAAAACAAAAGTATCTTTTGTAAGAAATTTGGAGAAATTTTAACTGTGAATCAAATTAAATTTATTTAATAATTTAAATATATATAATTTTTAAATACTTGTTTAATGATGATGACAATGTTGTATTGTACACAGGAGTTGTACACTCAACAGTGCAGAGTATTGTTAGATCACACACTCCAGGTCAACATACAGGAAGTTATGAGTCATACATAAATTTCAACAGAAATATCATATGTATCGAAATATACGTGACAAATTTAGAGCGATCGCCAATCTGGGCATGTTCACGTACCATACAGCTGTTTGCCTCACCACTCGTACAAGTTTCTTTCTTGGGTTGCAAAGCTGATATTAGTAACTCCTATCAAACATGAGCACATTGAAACTTAAGAACTTTTTATTGTATTGTGCGTTGTTTACATATTTTGTAACAGTTGATGGTGGTTATGGACCGTGGTTGCCGTGGGTTCCATGTAGCAGTCCAATAGGAAAAGAACGGTGCTTCTGTCGGAAGAGGGAATGCGACTCTCCGAAACCGCAGGATGGAGGACGAGACTGTGTTGGGGATTTTATGCAGGTCGCTAATTGTTCAGGTTAGCTTTGCATTAGCTTTGTAAATTAATTTAACATTTAATAAAGATCCAAAATCCAAGTGGGATAGGAATTATCATGGGTAGATCCAGAAAATAGAACAGGAAATATCCTGTTACATATAATTTTGCAAAAATTGATCTACCACACATAATATTCCATATCTCTATATTATTTACCCTGAAGCTGTGGTTGATATAAATATGTAGGCTACAGATTTGAAGGTTTTTTGAGCAAGCTGATTAATAAATATATACAGAGCCTAATTAAATTTCCCCTATTGCTCCATTTACTTTATGAAAATCAAACCTATTTCTGGTTCCTGGATATGTGAGTCTCAGAAATCCTTTAATGAATGATTTGGCTTGTTGATAAACTTACTGGATTGCAATTGATTAATTACTCTTTCACTTACTGACTGAGGATTTTTGCTTCTATTTATATCTACAACCTGTCGTGCAATCTGCAAAAACCCAAACAAATTAAATGAAAACCTTGAATACATAATTTAAAAGGCTGAAATAAGTTCTTAACTTATAATGAGAGATGCATTGAAACAATTGAATTTGTACTGATTCTCAGATCATTACTATGAAAATAATTCACTTGATTATTACCAGCCGATTTAAGAGCATTGTAAGAATAAGAACTGTATATTTCATGTGTCTGGTGATTAGCAAGGAAAGGATTGTTGGTCAATCTAATTCCTCATTGAAAGCTAAAAAACTTACTTCTACACACCATTTTCGCTAAATTTGAAATGAAAATTTCCGAGGGACATCCATAGGCCTAGGCATTTTGCACTACGTTGTTACCAATATGTGCACAACGCTCTATTAGCTACTACGTAGCTGGTCATGCTAGGCTATGACACTGGAAGTCCTACAGTGACGAGCTGCAAGACGTTGGCAGTGCTGTTTCAACATAGACCCGATAAAATAGTGTATATACAAAGTAAGCAAATTAATAGTTTAATTAAATTTTTCAAGGTTTTTAGCTTAATGCATACAGTACTGAATAATTTTAACAGGATTGATGTCACTGCATAATTTTCAATATTCTTCTATTCTTCTATCTACTTAACTTTTTTGTATTTACTGTTATGCAATTTTATAAACTATAGTTTTACCAAATGTAAATTACACTGAATAATTTTCAATGATATTCTTCTTTCTACTTTTGCATTCCACGGTAGCCGATTTTAAAAAACAATGAAAGTGAAGGAAGGGAGGAAATAAGGGAGGAAATACTGTATATCGCATTTTATATTTTTTTCTTAACCTTCTGCTTTTTATACTTAATTACTACTTTGTATTTGTGTTAATTGTTTGGGATGAATCAAGTTTTTTCCTGATGAAATGAAGTATTTATTATTATATAGGAATGAATGACAGAAATATGCAGTTACTAAAGTATAAACAATAGAAGTCAAGAAAGGGAGGGAATGTCACACTATATTTAAGTTTCCAATTATATATGAATTACTGACAGGAATATGCAATGGTAAAAGACTATTAAATGAAGTCATTGCCTAATTGATTAATTGATCGATTGATTGATTGATTGATTGATTGAATTTAGTTAGTAAAACACTCAGATAACCCGCCAAAAGCACTATGACTGCTTGCTAGGTATTTTTTTCAGAAACTTTTTAAAACCCTTTAAATTTTACTGTGTATATATTTGCAATTACTGTTTATTATATATGCTTATGCATTATATACACACATATATTGTGTATATATACTGTATATTTATTACTTACCTTGCATAATATTTTATTTCATTTAATGTTTTGTTCAAATACTTGTAATTATTACTTTATTTATTTACATGTTTACATCAATAAGCCACACTATTTTTGATTAATTTTTGTAATGCAATTTGAAATTATACACTCCAAGTTTGCATCATGAAGCTAAAAAAAACTTCAAGAAGACCAATTTTGGAGCAAAACATGCAGCAATATGATTAGCAATAACTTCAGGAATCTACTGTATTCATCCGATTAAAATTCGGCACAAAACCCCGGTGATCTGGTGCATCTGTATGTTGGATTCTGATTCAATTTATTTTGTCATGTCATACATAAGTATAACAAACATATATGCCTATACATAAAGACTATACATGAAAACAGATGAAAGGATTAATTATCAATCTTTTATAATTAAAAAGAACTTTACAATCAAATAAATTTTAAAATTCTGTACAGCTCCGGTGAACATTTTTAATGGATATTGTTTTGTGCTTTATTAAATAAAGTTATTATTATTATTATTATTATTATTATTATTATTATTATTATTAAATTAAATATCAATTAAGCCAATCTCTCGAACCTGATGTTGTTCTGTCCAAAAGTAAGGAAGATGTTTTGTGTCAAGCAAAGACCTGTGAGTACCGGATTATTCTAGATTGAAAAGTTTTTTCTCATCTCTGCTGCTTACACTTTTACAGGCTTACATTTTGTGTTTCTTTTCCTCTCGTAAGCATAAACCCAATACTTATGGTGTGTAATTTGCAATATTGCAATACATTACCTTGATGTAGCCTCTCTTTTTGGCAGTTGAATAACTCGCAAATGAGTCATCCAACTTGAGAATATTCCACTTGGCTAGTTTCTGTAACTGTTTCGTTCAAGGACAGGCTTCAGTTGTCATCCTTCAAGTTTATTAAAAAAAAAGAGAAGGGGCAGGAACTAATTTTAAACAGAAAAATGGAAGTCAAAATATATAGTACATAGGCACGTCTTGACAGTTGATCTAATTGTGACAGCTTGTCATGCAAAGCTTCAAAAATCAGTAACAAATAAGCATTATGGATTTATTGTTAACATGCTCTTCTAATATCGGGACCGAAAGTTTCTATTGTGTTTCTTCTGCAAGTACTACTCAATTAAGTGCTGCTCAATCTGAGCCACACACACTTATCCTTTACTGCCCTGACCATGCATCCTGAGCATTGCATGCACATTTAGCTCACACGGTGCCTTTGTTCATTACACTGTGAATCTTCCACCCTGATCCTCCCACCTTGAACCTCCCACCATGAGCCTTGCACCCTGGGCCTCACTGAGCTGTGCAACCTGATCCTAGCCTCATGAGCCTCACAGTTGTTGTTAGCCTCACAACCAAACATCCCTGATACTCGCACCAGCGAGCCTCAAATTTAGACCCTTGCACAATGAACCTTACAGCCTGTATGTTACACCTTGAGCTTCACATCTTCAGCCTTGCACCCTGAGCATTACTGCCTGAGCCTCACACCCAACCCTCTTCAGCCTTGAACAGTCAGCCCCATACCCTAATCCTCATGCAATGAAAGATAATTTCTAGATTCTAATGTTGCACTCCTGTAACTGTTACTTAATAGCTAGTGGATATGATAAAAATGCAAATTTCAATCCAATGACAACTGTCACCTCATCTTATCCCTGCATTGCAGTTTGTCAGTTTCTTGATCAGATGATCTTTAAAATATTGATGGACTTTTTTAATGACTTAACTGTAGAAGATGAAGGTTTTGATGATAAGCTGAAATTAAAAAATGTATAATAATGTAGCTCAGAAGGCACACCATTAGGTTTCTCGAGATTTCAACAATTAGTTTTAAGAATCTGGGAATAACCCAAATGTACATGAATTTTCCTCTAGAATCTAATTCTAATTTCAATTCCCACAGGACACTGGGATGAGTGGAGTGACTGGGGCAATTGCTCAGCTGATTGCGGAGTTGGTATGAAGACAAGAACTCGGAAGTGTATTGGATCCGAAATCTGCTTTGGAGAACCTTCTGAATCACGTGAATGCAATACTTCCCCATGTCAAAGTAAGTTTATAATAAAATGTTACCTATTGACAATTGATCAAATTGTGTATATAGTTAATAGTCTTTTTCAGTGGTCTCAAATTGCAGCAAGTGAAGCATTGTGGGAAGGCTTTGGACCTTGCAAATGTTGTGACTGCTAGTTACACTACTTGCCTCCTTGGCAACACTTTATCTATGTTTACTTTTCTTCGCCAAGGAGTACAAATTGGTCCTTGTTAGGGGGTGAATGATTCGGATTGAATTAGTAGTGCTGATTACAAGCATAGCTAAGAATACTCCCCAGGGAGCGGGGGTAGGTTGCATGTTATGTATGACCTATTCCGTATCCAGTGAATACAAAAAAAACCCAAAAAACGCCTTGAAGGTTTTTCAGAAATTGATATGCGCGCTGTAAATTTAAAAAGTAAAATGTATGTCTTGTCCCTTTGTGCCATCTGTTATCAGAATTTTCTTATTTATTTATTCATTTAAATATTGATTTATTTCTGGAGCACATAGATGAAACAAAGATATAGTTACAACTATAAGTTCATTGTCAAATACTTATAAATATAAAGAAATATATAAATGAGGTAATACAATATATTAAAAAATTAAACTTAGTCTTAGTTTATTTGGCGAGTACCAGAAGTTTTCATTGAATGGCTTACATGTGTATATTTGTATACATTGTAAACACATACACATAATTATTCTTTTTTCTAAATCTTGATATTGTACTTCTTTTATATTAATTTCAAACTTTTTTTCTGATGAACAGGTATAAAGAAAGCATATCATTGGACGCCGTGGACAATCAAAAACCTAACCTCTGATGGGTATGTTCTTCATCGATCTCGATTATCCTGCAGGGCAAAAGTTGAAAGTAAAAGTTCAATCAGGATATCGCAGAGAAGAGAACAGACCCAAGAATGTTCCTTCAGTGATGCACAATCATGTTGGCCAGATGCAGGTACAAAAGAACCCATTGAATTTGTTATTAATTATAATGATCTAATACCTCATTCACTCTTATTATTTGCAGTTCAATTCTAAAATCCAACTTTTCATAGAATTTTTTCCATAAGTTAGAAAATAATCTCTTTCCTCTTTTAAATATATGTATGAAAATATAAATAAATTATTAATATTTGCTGTTTTTTAATGATTTATCCTTGATGTAGCATTCTTATCCATCCCACTTCTTATCCCACTTTTAATGTTTTTTAATCCTGGTTTTTAAAACATTTAGGGATTCGTTCATTCTTACTTTCAATCGTAATGTGCAATGTTTTAATTTTTTTCTATTTCAATCGATGAATTAATGTATTGTAATGCACCTATAAGGAAATTTGTTTATATACGGTGCACTATCAATGCTTTTATTATTATTATTATTATTATTATTATTATTATTATTGATATTATTATTATTATTATTATTATTATTATTGATATTATTATTATTATTATTATTATTATTATTTATTATTGATATTATAAATATTGTTTTTTCTTTGTTTATTTTTTTGTGAGTTGACAAATACATGACTGATTTATTGATATATAAATATTTCAATATCCATCTTCATATTCTAATAGAATACTTTGGTGGATACACCAACTGGTCACCTTGGCTGGAGTGTTCTCAGACGTGTGGATGGGGCATCCAAGTGAGGCATCGAGCCTGCATTCCTGGCTACAAGCTATGCCAGTCAGGGCAGCACCAACAGAAGACCTGTAAAATAGCAGACTGTCCAGGTAATGAGGGATTATTTCGACTTTGAATGAGTTCTTTGCAACTTCAGGGAGCATGTGAAGAGGTTTCTTTTTCAAGCAAACACAACAAACACAATAAAACACAATAATAGAATCAAATGCAAAATACATTGTTATTTATTTGTTTATGCTTCAACATCATCCAATGTGAGGCTTTATTGCATTAAGCGCTATAATAAAAATTATTATTATTAAATCACTCTAATAATTAATTAACTATTGATAGTTTTGATAATGTTTAACTTGTATATATTCTCTAGACTAATTGTAGAATATAGAATTATGAGGCTTTCTTACATATAAAAGCACTATATATAAATAAATTATTATTAAACTAACTTATTATAATTAATCAACTGTAATATATGGTTTCATGGCCAGAAGATATTTTGTAATTGTTGCCTACACATTGACATTTCAGAATCAGGGTCGGTTGATTGGCCTTATTTTAGGATTCATTGCCTACCATCCCTCCCTAATGTATTGTGGTTCATAAAATATCTACCACAGGGCTGAAATTCATGGTTAATTTAGCAAGTTTATAAATTAGAGCATGAAAAGTGGCCTTTTGAAATGTCATACAAGTATTTCGGGCTCCCTTTTGGTAAGACAAAAAACAGCTTGATTTAAATTTTCAGGATTTTGGTTTAGAGGATTAAAAGAACACAATAGTATCTTTTGGTTTAATGAATAACATGTTTACTGTCTATACTAATTAATCTGTTAATAAAATACTTCTGATTTTCAAAAGGGAGGTCATAGAAAACAGAGGGGGTAGCTAAGGACTTGTGAGTTTATTTATTTATTTATTTATTTTATTTCAATTTCTCACCAACAGCGAGTACGAATCCGCCACTTACAGGATTGATGGATAATGTGCATTTCTTGGATAGTAAAGATATGATAATATACAGTATAACTATAATATAAGTATATAGTATATACAGTAATATAACATTTTATATGATATAAAGATACTAAAATATCAAATTGAATATTTAAACATAATATTCTGTATTTATAATATATTATTTTCTCAGAATTTGCAACAAGAATTATGTTTTTTAGTAGCAATAAATAATATATTATGACAAACCAATTATGTATACAAAAATGCAATTTGCCATAAATAACTAAATATATAATAAAAGTCATGCAAGACTGACAAGATATAAACTATTACTTTAAAAAGTGAACTTAAGAAGTAGGACTTAATTTGAACAACTCACTTAAATCATCTTCATTTTACTACATTATTGTTATATAATTTATGTATCAGTTTGGGACAAATTAGTTTCTAAATCAACAGCGTGCGATGCTTGGCACACATAGACTGTCATCTAATTTATTGAACTGTCAAAGATATAAACTATAATTTCAAAAGTGAACACAAGAAGTAGGACTTGATTTGAACAACTCACTTAAATCATCTTCATTTTAGTACATTACTGTTATATAATTTATGAATCCTAATTACCTTCCATCTATTGGCTAATACTTTCAGTTTGATGAAAATGTTTCTTGTACTTCTTGAGACCGATTTTGTAAGGTGCCCATGAAAAACTGGTTGCAGCTTTGGTCTCATTAGAATAATAAAGATATAAGACATTTGTTAATTTGGGACCACAAAAAAGTGGTCTTTATTGGAGATGGTCTATAATTGTGTTTAATTAGAAGGAGACCTGAGTTTTCTTAATCTAGTTTTGAAATGAAAGGCAGTAACTTACTCTACGTACTTTAGCAGGACCTTTGCTTGTCATGAGATATGAAATTTTGCCAGTGATTTCAATCTTTCATGATTATATATGTATGTGCTTAACTCGACAGTAAAAGGCGCGTGGAATTGTTGGACTGCATGGAGTGAATGCTCAGCTTCGTGCGGCCCGGGCGTCCAGCACAGATACCGTACTTGTACTAATCCCGCCCCTGCTTTTAAAGGGGCGCCATGTGTGGGGGAAAATTCACAGGTACAGGAGTGTAAACTAACGGAATGCCCAGGTAAGGTGGTAGACTAACACTTAATTAATGCCTCTCTTTTGAGTTGAGTATCTGTTTAATGGTTTGATGCAGTGACTTGGATGATAATGTAGAACACTTAAATGCTGTAGCATTAACAATCTTTTGTAAAACTGACATACTAAATGTTATCAAAAGCAAACGCTGCTAGTAATGTCACCAAGCGCTCCCCCGCCACAGTCAATTACATTGAGGTGACAATATTTTTTTGGATTTTCGACTGGCATACAATTATTTAATTAATAGCTAAAAAAAAACTAAGCAAAATTTAAATTGAGCTAGCTGTTTTAGACAATAATACATAAAATCCATCGTAAGTCAAATGTAAATCAAACAATTGATTGATTAATTAATTAATTTGTTGATTGAAATCTAACAGATTGGTAAAATGCATCATATGTCAGATATAAATTGATTGATTGATTTTTTTAATTGAAATTCAACAGTTGCTAACATCAAAAAGAAGAATGCCTGCTTTTGTTTAATTTGCATTGTAGTGAGTTTGAGGCTGAATTATAAGTAATGGCAATGCTAGAAAATATTGTGCAAAAACATATCTTAAACTTTTGACAAAAATCAATTATTTAATAGATAGATCGATTGATGGATTGTGGATTTTTGCTAACAAACAAAAGATAAATGGCTGCTTTGGTTGAGGGAGTAAAACATAAAAATGCTTGTAATAAACTGATTATGAATGGTGATGGAATAAAAATGTTTTTGTACATGAAATGTATCTTTTTCCATTAAAAATATAATTAAGCCAAGCAATTCTTTGATATTTTAAGCTATTAAACATTGAGTAAATAAATTTCTGTACCTTGATCTACCAGACCTCTGTATCATATGATAAACATGTCTTTGTGTGCATTGGATTTTTGAAAGTTTTATTATATATTGAAGAGGATTTTGACTCAGAAAAAAAATCAATTATGTTATTATAGAATATCTATGCGCTTGACAAATGAAAAGAAAATTTACAGTGTCTAAAAGAAACTAATCTTTAATTTAGTCCTAAAAACTAATCCTATTCCTTAAACTTACCATTTTGTTTTGGGTCAGGTACAACTATTATGTTATTATATTGTTCTTATATTGTTTTGATATTGTGTTTAATTAGCTTACAATGGATGGAAGAATTGGGGTGATTGGTCATCGTGTCGCAACAGCCGACGGCACAGAACCCGTCGTTGTGACTTCCTCTTTCCAGTACATGGTATGTGCTCCGGATGTGGGAAAGAAGTTGAATTTTGCGGGAATGATATTCGCGAGTTCAAACTAGTGGCAGGTATGTAAATGTTCCTGTTAAGGCCAACTCACTAGATCTATCGTGTCTGTAGTGTCTCACAGATAACGTCAACAAATTGCGCCACATTTCGTCGTATGACACTGTTTGATTTGGCTTTAAATGAAGGGCTACTTCAGAAAGGTGAAAAGATATGGGCAGATACAATTCCAAATGTTGTACATGGTTTTTATATTGTTGAAAGAGCTGATGACAATGTTTTTGTTTTTTTTTATGTTGAAATGATATGATAATGAGTTATTGTTTTATGTAGATGACATGTTGTAGATGAATGATTTAAAGACTAAAAAGGCATTGATGCAAAACAAGAAAAAAAATACATTGCTATCTTTGTAAAAAGCTTTTTAAAAACCTGATGTTTACAATTTGTGCAAAATTATTTATTTACTTTTTTTATAGGAAGCGCAAAAGTTTCAGCCAGCGGCTACAACATAGATGAAAATGAAGAAGACTGTGCCGAAAAGGCAAAGATGGAACGTGTATACATAGCTATGGTTGCGATGGGCTCGGCAATAGCTGGCGCTGTAGTCTGTCTAACCGTTCTGTCATCGTATAATAAACACAAGTCAAATGCATCGATAGATAATGAACTTGAGGACACATCTGACTCATTTGTTACTGAGTTTGACCTCGATGGCTATTCTGATCAAAAGTCCTTCAATAGCGATTTGTCCACAGGTGTTAAATCCAAAGTATGCTGCTCACCCAAGCGTTAAAAATTGTTGTTTGCTTGTTAAAAAATAAATGAATATGTATAAATGTATGTAATAAATGTTATATAAAATGTATTATTATTTTTTATTGTTTAATTTCATTATGTATAATTCTTAGTATTATCAATTTTACTTTCATATTTAAATATTTTTATGTTTATTGTTTTTTGTATTTAATTATGTTTAGGGCTGTTTTTACCAAGATATAAAAATATAAATTATAATAGTATTAATATCCCCAGGCAAGAGATGACAAGAAAATTTGAACGATGTCTTTTAAATAATGAATTCATTTGTTTCTAATTGTTAACATCTGAATCCAGTATTAAAAAAACATTTTGGTCATCCAATTCAAGTATTATATAACAAACATTTAATTGTGATTATTTTGGGAAAGAATATTACAGAATATAATATTTATTAGTATTAAGACATTTGGAATCGATTATTTTTCCAGTGTTTTTGTCAGTTCAATTGGGCTAAAACTGAGCATTTTGATATTAGAAAGTCTACAAAATATACACAAATTTTGTTAAATATGAAAAATTGGGGTGATAAATAGACATAATTGCAGTTGGATTTATTTTGATAACCATATAACCAGATTTATAAACCCTAAATAATGATACTCACAAATATTATTTGTTATTACTGTTAAATATAGGGAAAGCATTGTAAGTTCGGGCCTGTATTAGGCTGTATGTTATTAACAGATTGCGTTTTTGGTTTTCCAGAAACTGGAATAATAAAATTAAATAACTAATTATGATAGGCCTATACAGTAAATTCCATTACAATCAGGGAGGTAGTATGTATTAAGAGCATCAGAACTGTAATCCAAATGTTCCTGGATTGAATAGCAAAACTCTATATTTTCTTTCTCCACTTCCATTATTTGCCCATATATGGATGTGATATGACATCATCATGGCTACATATATATTTTATGATAATACGGAGACGGCTTAAGCCGGTATGTAATCCCGACGAACTTATTCGAGAATATATAGTCCTCTTTTCTAAAATATAGTTTTATTATTGGTCTAACTCTTCTGATTTCCAATAATGTTAATTTGAATTTGGTTAAAAATTTGATTTAATTCATTTCGGTTCTATTTGTCAGAGTAGTATATGAAAAGACAAACATTCCTGTAAAGAAAAAAAGATGAGAGGACTGATATTTAAGATTGATAGAAAAATACTTTTAGCTGGTGGTATTCGTTAAAAACATTTGGTATAAAACATAAAAAATGACTTATGTTTCAGTGGTACCTGTATATTGATATCTGCTGATAATATGGTGCTTAATTTCCAGTTAAAGTTTGGTAATGTAGGCCTAGTTCCAGCAAGTGAGTTTTGGAAATTCTTGAAGAAACTGTCGCATTGGATTTTGGGTAATCCTATGTACATCTCAGGTAATCAGCTGGGATAAACAGTGGATAATCTAATATATAAGTATTGTATATGATTTAATATATTATGGATTAGCACTTTCATACGTGAATAATACGTATTTAATTGATTTTGCTAAGTAGTCTTATCTAAAGTTATCGCGTCACTGATTTCTTATTGAAATTTAACTGTAAATTGTAAATAATATTATTTATTATCTTGCATGTGTGTAGGTCTATTTATATTGACGATATCGATGAATATGACACAAGGCAAGTTGCCAATCTTTTCAAGAAAAGCTGTAATAATATTTGCAAAAGTGTTTGGTCGGGTGGGATGAAGTATTGTTTTAACAGTATTTTTCAATGACATGTTTCATTTTTACATAGATGTTACTGAAATAATTTTTTAAAATAATGTTTGGTCAACCTTTAGGTACGTAGGTCTATATTGGCGCGTGGTTATCATATACGATAGTAGGCTTATTTCTCTCCTTTGGTTCTTGATTCTCATCCTGAGTACGGTAGTTTTCATCATTTTTCTGCAATACCTTTGTTTCGATTAAATCTTTAAATCGATTAAAGTAGCATTAACTAGCATTTGAAATAAGTTTTGATGTGACAAATTGTATAGCTCAGAATTCCAAAGCTATCATTAAGGTGGAATTCAGTACAAATGCTGGATTCGTTATTTTCTTTTTAAAACATTGTGGAATATTAAGTACGAAAGATTAACTGTCATGAAAATTACAATGTAAAGAGGAATTACAGTACATTGGTTACAATAACAATAGGTAACCAAATTAAATTTGCAGTGCTTTCTTACAAGGCTGAGATGTCTTTTGATAGTAGGTTTATTGCTACGATTCTCGTGCATCATGACGTATTGATTTTTAGACCTACTTTTTGTGTACAATATTTTAAAAAAATGCGAATATCGTCTTTTCCGCATCCCTTCCCAATAATAAAAATATAAACAACTCAACGTTTCAATGTATTTATGCATTGTATACATTTATTTAATATGAATTTGTATGTGTATATAGTTCAATGAAGAAGAACCGTGTATTTGATATGTAAAGTTCTGTTGGAAAGTTTACTTTAGGCTTTACAGCAGTACGTTAGCAGCTTAAAATAGGCTTAGTGTTAACAGATGTAAGCTGTATTGGGTAAATTTCAAACTATTATTTGCCTGGTTACTCTTTTGTAAAGCCTGTTTTCAGATTAGACAAAAAATAATGTGCATGTTGTGTCACTTGCACACTCTCAAATTGGGTGAATAATGTAAAACGTTCGATATGGGCGGATTTCGACTGCGCGCTGAGCAGCAACAACTAACGTAGGTGCAGTTGAAATTTCGCACTAACATTCCGCTTTAAAAACGATTAAAATATTGTTAATGAACACAGGTTTTACATTAGGTCATGGCTATGCAAGCATGGGTAAAAGCTGATATTGTTATTGTATTGAGAGAAACGAATAAAATACAAAACTGCGTAAATTCTATGTTGTGTTTTACTGTTCTTGGTTTTGGCATAATAATAGGCCATAATATTAGGACTACTTTAATAACAGTACTTACTGTACTACTTACTTATGTGCTCTTGCTGGCTGGTCCTCAGCAGGCACCCAGTTTCTCCGGAGTTTTTGGTTTTGTGCTTGTCTCCTTAATGTTTCATAGTTGTTACCCTCTTTCAAATCATTCAAGAAAGCAATGGGCTTTCTCCTCCTTTACTTTTGATTTACTAAATTGACATCGCATAGATGCATTGCCCGTAGTCCATTGACCATCCGAATTATGTTTACACATTTTGTAAATAATTTGGATGGTCAATGGACTAAGTAAGTAGTTACTAAGATAATATATTTTCAATCATTTTAAGGATGTTTATGGGAATGAAATAAATCTGTTTAGTGCAAATAGAGGGAAAACTGAGCATGTTCTGCCATCACTCAAGGAGATGTAAAAACATCTCACTACATCACTGCTCCCTATAAGATTCACAGATTCACTCCCCAAAACCTGTTATATGTACCCCCTTTCCTAAACAATCTGCCCTGGCTCCCCTGTCTCTGAAATGATCCAATTTGTCCCATTGTCTGAGCATTTGTTGCGTTACATTTCTGATAGCCATTTTAAGTACCGTAGCAGTTTAAATCGTGACAAATATCATTTAACCTAGTGCGCCCTCTTTCTCATATGCACTTTCTTCACTCGTGCTACACGAAAACCTCCGCAACAGCCATCTTGACTACTAGACATTATTCTTTTTTGTTTTTTAAATTAAGTACTTATTCGTACATGTTTCCAGTGCCTTTACTTTGTGAGAAGACACTTTATAAATATATGAAATATTCGACCTTCGTGGTCGTGCTGGACGAACTCAATTGAGGAACCCCGCCAATTAAATGAACTTTGAATGGCCTATAGGCCTATAAAAGAAACAAATAATTTATAAACTTTCAATAGGTCACAGATGAAACGAAGTTTTCTATGATTTAAAGAATTTACTACACATTTCGTTTAAATTTGCTGGAAGAATTTTAAATTGTACTATTTAATTGTTAATTGGCTATAGTTTCTTACGTTGGAAAACTTTCGGAAAAACAAATGTTTGGATATTTTGGTAACAGTTTATCATACGGTGGCGGAAGGGGGGGGGGGAAATACTCGTATCCCCTCTTCCCCCCCCCAAAAAAAAAACACGGTCCATTAGTAAAAAATCACCTTAAATCACCTTATTTTGCGAATTAGCGCCCCTTAACCGACCATCGAGTTCCCCACTTCACCTTCACCCCCACCCCATCAGCACCCCCATTTCAAGACTTCTAGATACGCCACTGCATTAATACGATGAAGCATTTCATTCTAGATCTGGATCGGTAATTTGAAAAGAGGCATCACATCAATAGTATTTGGTTTCATATCGTCACAGAACACCACAAAATCTTTCTTTATTGCTATTGAAACATGGAATGCTTAGTTGTGTTTGTTGATGTTAATTTATTTAGTTGAGCTTATCTTATTTATTTAGGCCTAATTTTATTGATCATAATTATATTTTCGGGTAAGGTGGTGAGTACGGGGAATGAAAACTATCGATCATGTGAAGTATGGAGTATGAAAGCTACCCATTACAAGAAATCACTTTTAACATTCAAAGACCTAGCACACATAGGTAAGCAAATAGTAGGCCTATGTAACCGGAGGGTTCAAACGTTGGGGCGCCAGGTGCAGGGCCTTAATGACAGCCATAACAAATTCACAGCTTCTCTGTAAAGTTATCTTGTTAAGAGTCATATTGAGACTTATAGAACATTCGTGTAACAGTATAGGTTTGTGACACATTTCTAATTGATGAAAGATCCTAAGCCGGTAACCACCGAGTTCATTTCCCTCTAGTTACACACTTTCCGACGGCTATGAATCGAAATGTGCAATCTTCACATTGTCAACAGCTATCTAATAATTAAATATATTGCTATTTGTGTTAATCCTTGACAAATATCGTCGTTCTGCGAATCGGTTTCATCAGAAATTTCGCTGCGTTTCCTTCCAAATGACGTCACCGGCATATCTTATTTATGGTAGCTCTTCGTCAATTCCTACTGAGAAATTGGCTTAGTAGCTATTAAGACGACATAATTTACAGAGTCTCTTTACTTCAGTTTTTATTTATTGATATAACGCATAATATTTCGTACGTACGCTCAGAGCTAACATGATATCGTCGTTCCATAATAAGCACATCAACATAACAGTTTGAAATTCAGTCTACAACGTGCATGACTTTATACGTTAGCTTGTATATTTTATCAAGGCCTGTAATATTTAATGAAAATATGAACAACATATTTCCAATCGAAACGCCTACTGTATAGCCTATAATTATTTGAATTACCATTAACACAAGAATTATGAAATATAATAACACACGGACTTTTCGGACAATAATTTTACGAATAGTAAAAATGAAGTAAGCTTTCCATATCCTACTGCTCGCCTGCTATGTCTTTGTCATTATCATGCGCGCAAGTCATTAAGTAGTGTATTTTTGTGTAAGGAAATATTTTATTGTATGTTTTTGTATAAGTTATCTTATCATTTGATTTTAATGGTAACAGTATTCAACAAACTTTCATTTTAAAATTAAGTAATAATTTACAGTTGTTTATAATTGCTTAAATAACAACATCGTGAAAACATTTTAGGTTCTTTGAGGCAACCAGACATAATTAATAACAGTTGCCTTACCTTTTTTAAACGGAATAATAGGCCTTCAATAGACAATTTTCTAATTTTATGATATGTAAGCCCGTTTTATTTTTAAATATTTAAAAAATATGTATTGTATAAATAAAAGAAATATTTTGGAGAACCAGTGGTTTAGCACTGTACTCCACCATAAACACTGAAGAAGTTCATCAGAATAAATACATAAACATAATCCAATTTATTTAAGCTTACCACTTTTCACAAAGACTCAAACTGCTTAACATCATTAGTCATACGACCATGATACAATATTGGTAGTATTCGTCGTTAACTTTAAGGATCGGCAGCGATTAACAACATATAGGCCTAGGCCTATGTATATAACTTTGAAGTATGATTTGATTGATATTAAAGATCGATTAAAACAGTTCCGCGATTTAAATGAAGAGTGAATGCGGAGAGTTGACTGTCAACCTAGTGCTGTAGGTTTATACATCATCCAATTCAATAACCAACCAAAACATGAGAAAGATTGCTATACTCATCATATCAGGGGTGGCGCCGCAACGCGTTTCATTTGTTTTTTTAGTGTTCTATCTATTTACCTCGGGGCGGGGTGGGGGGGGGGAGAACTGATATCAAATCACAGCTGTCGAATATTTAAGCAACGCCCTTGTATCATTAAGTATTGCAGCTGTAGATGCCATTTTACCATATATAACTTTCTACATTCTCTTTAATTATCAAGATCGTTATCGAAACATATAAGAAGGTATAGCAGAGAATGGCTTGCCCGCCCAAGATTTGATTCCACTTTCAATGACATGGGGGTGACCGACTTTTGCAGCTACCGGACTTGACGGTTTCATAGGTGGTGTGATTTTTCTAGCTGCTTTAAAAGGTCTTGGGATAGAGTTCGGTGAACCGCTTCTGGGGCTTTGTGGCGGACTAGGCGTCTTTGACGGAACTTTTATAGATTTATTCATTGATGCTCTCCGGGCAACTGCCGGGAGCCTGACTGGGTGGCTTGTGGGAGACCCACTACCGATAGTGTTGCATCGGCGGCGATATAATCTTGTGGGTTGGCTAAAATTATTGAGTTTGTCAATGGTGGAGAACTCCTTTGCATCACGAAGGTCTGGTAATGAGCTTGAATGACGTCTTTGCGACAAGAGATTTGTTGCAATGGCTTCTTCCTCCTCTTCGATTGGGCATTCTTGTACACGATCTAATCGTCGTGACATACTAAAGACTAGACTATTTGCTAGCTTCAAATGTTCTTCGTTCAACGGCACTGAAGGCACACTACGGAGCCTCTGTACCTCAGTAGATTCCATCCAACGATTTGCGGGTTCTAGTCCAGACATTGCTATCAGATCTTTCAATGATCGCCTGCCTTGTGCCTCACGTTCACGACGTGCTTTTGTCTTTCGAACAGCGATTGGTGAAAGAAGTAATAGATCTGGTGTACCACATCTGCTTTGAATCGCTAAGTCTTGTGCCGTACTATTGTCCGTTGGATCACGAATATTGACGTCTGCACCAGCCTTTACCAGCAGACGACATACCTCTGAATGACCAAGTCGTGCAGCTTCTAGTAGAGGTGTGTAGCCTGAAAGAGGTAATATGTATTTGGTGTGTTAGTGTAATTAATATTTCCATAAGAATAAAAACATTTTGTTGAGTTTCTCCCACTTGACGCAACATGGTATATTTAATTATTTATTTTTGCAACAAGTTACCTTGTAGTTACTGAATCTATTTTCATTCGATAACTATTATTGTTACAAGAGCATAATAATTTTTATACACTATAGGAAAAATACTTTAATATTCATTCGACTCACCTTTCGAATTCATTATATCAACTTCAAGATTCAGCCGCCCAAAGCACGTAATCATCATCTTCACGGCATTGGTACCTCCTTCCATTCGACAGGCATGCATTAGTGGCGTGTCCATCGAATTATCTACAATGTTTGGGTTAGCATCCGAATGTTCGGCTATTATCTTTACCATTCCTTCATCACCGCGTTGGCATGCAAGTGCCAAAGCAGTCCTACCATCACTGTCTCTTAAGTTACTGTCAACGTTCTGCTTCTTTAGCCACATTTTTGCAAGTTCTTTTCGAGTTTTAGGTAGCACATCTAGTTGACAAATATTCATAAGAACTGTTTTTCCGCCGTTCTCAGTGTCTTTTCTATTTACTTCCAAACAAGGCATACTCATGGCCGATTTAATGCGAGTATAACTGTTTGATCTCAGAGCGTCTATCAATGTCTGGTTGGGGTTCACCAGAGAGTTGTGCGTCTTATCGCTTCTCTTCAACAGCATTGTTGGATCTTTCATCTTGCAGGTGTTATGGGATGCCTTCAGATGATCAAATCACAAAGTATTACGTATGCCTACAGGATGTGGTGAAATGTTTATTCCTTATTTGTCATTAATTCGAATTAATTGGTGTTTATTCGACCATTCATGACGCTTAACCTGCAATACAACATAATTAATCAACAACGTTGAATGGAGAGCAACAGACAAAACATCTATTTTTAGATTTACTAGCGTCTTCTTTTTTAACTATGGATTTTGGTTTACATATTTTGACATTCATAAACTAGATAATGAATAGGACGTAAACTTAAACTCAATCGATATTTCTTATTATTATTCATTTAGAAACAGGAGTTCATCTGAACTTAAAAAAGCAAGGTTAGTCGGTTTGCAATAACATAGGCCTATATATGCTATCAACTGAATGGTAGTGGGAAAAACTTGCCACAAATCGTATTGTAAACATGTGTGAATCAGGACTTAACCATCGATAATGGTTTGTAATCGATTTTTATGCATAAAGATTAGGCCTCCTATACGTGGTCAGCATATACGTAACGAGTGGTATACTAGTGCGTAACATCAGGCATCAGGGGTAGAGAATTAAAAGCATAGTCAGCCCTTTCGATTACAGTAAAATTGAGACTTCTCAGACCAGTTAGCAAGACAAATTAGGCATTAAACAATTTGAGGGTGTGGCTGAGAAAATGTAGTGCTATCATAACCGAGACCCTTAATTACAAAATAAATAAGATAATCTTATAACAATATACACTATAAGAGATCATAATAACATATAAAATACAATAATCAATATACCGTAATACCTGTACTAAATAATTATAAACTTTAAATTGACATTATAAATATGAATTAAGCCTCATTAAAATCAGATAAAATGGAAGGACCACACCGTCTCAGTGACGGTAAGCCTCGTTGAGATTATTCTATTTATTTGTGTTTGCTTTCCACCGGGTTTTCCGTTCTTTTGATATGACACTTATCAAATAAGTATAACGGATAGGGACGATTTACACTTATGATTATTTAACCATTTAACAAAGGAAGTTCGGAAGTAATCGAGTGAAGCGTGTCATAACCATGGTAACAATTTAACAAATACTCACAACACAAGAGTATTTTCTAAAAAGTTCAATTTACACGGCTGAGGTGACCGGGCTTTCACACGCCTTCTTTCTAGCCTTGGCGTTCTTTAGACACTATGAGCATATATGCTTAATATTTAATTTAAATTAAATAATGATTCCGCTTTATACAAAATGAACATTGCACTCTGATTAGTTTGATAATATCGGTGATAATATTAAAATGGTAATATTGGTTCAAAAATAAACAATGTCCCGAAAAGCTATAATGGGACACAACACCACTCATGCACGTAAAATAAAATAGCAGAAAAGAAAAATGCAAAAGTAGATGCCTAGTTTGGTAATGTATACCTGTCACATTTAAGATGCCGATTAGCTCCATTGTTTATAACCAGCCTAGATTGTTTATAACCAGCCTAGGCCGGCTACATTTAAATTCGATGAATGTCAAGTCCTTAAATCAATGGCATACAGGGTATAAATTCCAATATTCGTGGGGAAGGTGAAAGACAACGCATTCCTTAGAATTTTGGATATCCATTATAATCGATAAATGAAGATGTCATTTGACAAGCAATAGAAATCTAAACCAACACTAACTAAATAAAATACGGCCATAATGCAATTAATTAACTTTTACTCAACTAATTATATTGGATTACAGTTCATACACAAAATAATCTTTTCGAACGAGCCAAAAGGTCTTTAACAACTGACATTTTCGTAAAAGGGATGGGGATGGGGATGGGGATGGGGATCAATGCCGTAGCCAGCTATTGGGACAGTCCCACATAACTTTTCTAATGGGTCCACAAATGATGGGTCCACATTTTTAGAAATGGGTCCAAATTATGCAATTTTATGCATAAAATGAGTCCACTTTTTACATAATGGGTCCAGATTTCACATAGGCCTATTTAGCCTAAAATGGGTTAAAAGTTTGGAAAATGGGTCCAGATTTTTCATATTTTGGCGTAAAATGGGTTAACTTTTAAGAACATGGGTCCACATTATTTAAATCCACCCTGATATTGTCCCGCACTGTTTGAAAATCCTTGCTACATCATTGATGGGGATCACATATCTCCTCCACAGCTCAGTAAACAACTCTATGTTAACAGCAGACCAGCACTGTGTTCTTCACGTGTCCGTATTTACTTTCAGCAAGATGCTCCTTCAACCCCCATAAAGTCCCCGTCTCATTTTGTGTAATTTTATAAGCCTCTGCTATCAGTACCGTATTTTTACTACAATTGCTACTTTCACTATTTCTTCACTACATAAAACAAAACACGGGAGTAAAATGCACAGGAATTTAAGTAAGAAAAGAACATAAAACTTACATGTTCGAAATTGAAAATCTTGTTTTCAGTGAATTAGTAACGTAAATATTTTACAATATCAGAGAGCTAGTATACCTTCTTTTCACTTCGCTGCTTTTATCTCATCTAACACAATTCGAGAGCTTGCCACTGTTTATCTACGGCGTGTACATTACTATTCGCTGTGTTAATCAATAAAGTTCGTTGGCAAACATCCATAAGATGACGTCACCACTTGTCCGTTCGCGTCTTGGATACAAAACACAAATGGGAATATCTTGGGGGGTTTCTTAGCTTTCTTAAATTAACCAAGACTAAGAAATCACGAGATGTTATGTTTTACGATTACCGTTTTAAAGAATCAATGTAAAATCCCGTAAAAGATTTAACTATTCTTAATTATCTTCACCATTCATCATTCATCAAATGATTGTAATATCATCGTCACCACCACCACCACCAACACCATCATCATCATCACCATTATTATCATCATGATAATCTTCATTATCATCATCATCATCATCATCATCATATTCTTCTTCTTCATGATGATGATGATGATGATCATCATCATTATCATAATCGGCATTATCATCATTATTATCGTCGTCATTATCTTGTTATGGTTAAAGTCTTTATCCCCTAGTATATAACAGATTATTACACATGACATTTGTTGTTTTTTTCAAGTTTGTTTTCATGATACATCATTCGTCAATGAAATGAAACGTTACGTCAAACCATACCTCCATGCTCAAAAACTCTAGGCCGTATCTGGGTAGCTAACGAATACTTTCTAAATGTATTATTATTTTTATCACCTATTCGATTTTTTAAATGCAAACTTCACATGCATCATGACTCACCCTTTTATTTCCAACTTGACGACATTTTTTTAACAAAATAGTATTAGTAGAAGAAGATCTATGCACGAATTTAAAATAGTAGTATTAGTAGACCTATGCACTAATTTAAAATAGTAGCAGTAGTATTAGTAGAAGAAGATCTATGCACGAATTTAAAATAGTAGTATTAGTAGACCTATGCACTAATTTAAAATAGTAGCAGTAGTATTAGTAGAAGAAGGCATATGCACCAATTTAAAATAGTAGAAGTAGTATTAGTAGAAGAAGACATATTCACTAATTTAAAATTTCTTTTTATTAGAAATTTTCTAAACCGTTAGGGGACGGGATTAATAGTGAGGATTTTAAATAAATGGGTCCACATTTTTCATATTTTCGCGTATGAATGGGGTCAACTTTTAAGAAAATGGGTCCACATTATTTGTATTTACGCGTAAAGTGATGGCCACCCTGATATTGCCCAGCACTTATTGAAAATCATGGCTACGGTATTGGATGCAGTAGTGGTACGTTATATATTATCGTAATTATATTGCTAATATATAAAAAAAAAAAGAAAAAAAAAGAAACCCGTAGTGAATACCAAACTACAACGTTATTTATTTATATATTGAAATTTAGAACTGGGTATAATCAGCTTACAGACTGTTTCATGCTAATGTAACCTTCAGGAGTGAGAGAATACAAGGACTATGTGAGTATATTAATGCTAAGGCAGTTGAAAATGAAAATGAGTTAATTGTTTTTGTTTTTGAGTAGGTATTTTGTTGTTGTGCCTGCATTTAAACAATAGCTCAGTTCTTTTGTTTAGTGTTGATTGTTTGTCTGAATATATTATGGGAAGTCTTTTATTTAGTGTTGACTGTCTGAATATATTATGTGAAGTCTTTTGTTTAGTGTTGACTGTTTGTCTGTCAAACATTTTCAATATTTACGCTCTGCATTATCACGTGTATCGAGCACTGTACGTTGCTAGTATTGCCAACTATAAA